ATATTAAGGTAGACAAGTTCCCAGGGCCTGATGGGATATACCCCAGAATACTGAGAGAAGCAAGGGAGGAAATTGCTGGGGCCTCAAGGGAAATCTTTGTATCCTCACTGGCTACAGGGGAGGTCCCAGAGGACTGGAGAATAGCCAGTGCTGTTTCTTTATTTAAGAAAGGTGGCAAGGATAATACAGCTAATTACAGGCTGGTGAGCCTTATGTCAGTGGTAGGGAAATTATTGGAGAGGATTCTTCAAGACAGGCTTTACTTACACCTTGAAATCAATGGGCGTATTAGCGAGAGGCAATAAGGTTTTGTGAAGGGGAGGTTGTATCTCACTAACTTGGCTGAGTTTTTTGAGGAAGTGACAAAGATGATTAATGAGGGTAGGGCAGTGGATATTGTCTATGTGGACTTCAGTAAGGCATTTGACAAGGTCCCTCATAGCAGGCTAATACAGAAGGTAAAGTTGCACGGGGTCAGAGGTGAGCTTGCAAGATGGATAAAAAACTGGCTCGGTCATAGAAGACAGAGGGTAGCAGTGGAAGGGTGTGTTTTTTGAATGGAGGGAGCTGGTGACGTTACTCAGAGATCAGTGTTGGGACTTTGACTATCACTGATTCGGAGGAAAATGTAACTAGTCTGATTGGTAAGTTTGCCAATGACACAAAGGTTGGTGGAATTGCGGATAGCGATGAGGACCATCAAAGGATACGGCGGGATATAGTTCGGTTGGTGACTTGGGCAGAGGGATGGCAGATGGAGTTTAGTCTGGAAAAATGTGAAGTAATGCATTTTGGGCTGTCTAATTCAGATGGAAAATATATAGTAAATAGCAGAACCCTTAAGAGTACTGATAGACAGAGGGAGCTGGGTGTACAGGTACACAGATCACTGAAAGTGGCAACGCATGTGGAAAATGTTGTCAACAAAGCACATGGCATGCTTGCCTTCATCGGCTGACGCATTGAGTTTAAAAATTGGCAGGTAATGTTGCAGCTTTATAGAACCTTAGTTCAGCTGCATTTGGAATATTGTGTTCAATTCTGGTTGCCACACTACCAGAAGGATGTGGTGGCTTTGGAGAAGGTACAGAAAAGATTTACCAGGATGTTGCCTGGTATGGAGGGCATTAGCTATGAGGAGAGGTTGGAGAAACTTGGGTTGTTCTCACTGGAACGACGGAGGTTGAGGGGGGACCTGATAGATGTCTACAAGATTATGAAGGGCATGGACAGAGTGGACAGTCAGAAGCTTTTTCCCAGGGTGGAAGAATCAGTTACCAGGGACCATGGGTTTAAGGTGCGAGGGGCAAGGTTTAAAGGTGATGTACGAGGCAAGTTTTTTACTCAGAGGGTGGTGTTTGAGGATGGCTTTTAACAGAAAACATCTTTGCAGCAGCTGTGATGGTATGATGACGGGCGAAGGTGAATTTCAACCTCCCCCAAAATGTTTTTATTTGACTAAAAGTATATTCTTAGAAACTTGCCTTTGTAAGAGTATATATGGTGTACAGTGCTGCCACTAAGAATGGAGTAAGAAAATGTCGAAAATGATGATGGACAGAGTGCCAATCAAAATCAGCACTTTGTTCTAGATGGTGTTGAGCTTCTTGATTGTTGTTGAAGGTGCACCCATGAAGGCAAGTGGAAAGTTTTCCATCACAATCTTTACAGGAGCCTTTGCAGATGGTGGACTGTCTTTGGGGAGTTGGGAGGAAGTTGCTTGCTACAGGGCTCTTAACATCTGACCTGCTGTTACTGCCACCGTATTTACATGGCTGGCCAATGGTGACACCGAGGACGTTGATGGTGTGAAACTCGGTGATAAATAATGCTGCTTGCGATACACTGTTCTGGATGGCTTGAGCAAATTCAGAAAGTAATCGGACAAGGTAAGCATAACTTGAGATCGTGCTTAATATTGGTCAAATAACTTGAGGGTTAGCTTGTGCTGTGAGGTCCATTTTCCAAGTTCTTTATGTTAACATTCCTTTTATACTGATACAACACTATGAAACCTGCTTTGAAAGTTCTGTTTTAATATGTTAAACCAACAAAACATCTGACACTTGTTGGTAAATTTAGTGATTGTGCAGTTGATAAGGACTAGAACTTTATACTGCACAAAATCACACATTGCAAGGGTTACATTCCTGCAAAACCTTGTAAATTATGAATTTGGCTTATAATGGGTGTTAATCGGATAGGTTTTAATCATCCAAAATTTTGATATATACAGTACATGTTGAAAGAAAGTTTCTACTGAATGTTATGTTTTTTTTTCATGCACAACAAGACGTTATACTGGAGAAATATTGTGATAAAGTAAGAATGCTATAAAATTTGTCACATTATTCCTTATGGCTCCAGGTAACAATGATGTGGGCCCTCATGAAACATACCAGGTATAAAAAGTGCAGTGTGCACTTTGCAGCAGAAATACAGTTTTGTTAACATCTGTTTTATTTTTGATTCACTTTACTGTTTTTTTTTGATGTCTACACACCAGGCGAGTAAACATTAAACATGTAATGGATGAAATGGTGTGTGGAATTGGTTGTGTGCATAAGCTAATTCATGAAAGGTGAAGATGAGAATGATGGCACTTTTTGCTGTTATTCATTACTGCTAAAGTGTCCATCTGTGCTTCTTTCATGTCTTATTTAACGTTGAATTAGTTAATTCATCATCACTGCGGAGCTGCAGACATTGAGGCCACAATTTTAGGTTGTTGGAGGGTTCCTTCAATTTTACATTTGTTGTAACGTGGCATGAAATGTGTTGTACCAGTATGTTATATCTTTAGGGACACAGTTGTATGCGAAGTCATGTCCACTGGACCATATTTTCTGAGTTCAACTAATTGTTTTCTGCTCTTTATTTTTAGGTCCAAAGACATATAGTTTTGGCACAACCACCTCTAACGAATTGAATACTGCTGGAAATTTGGATAGATCCATTCCTAAGGTAATCATCGGCTTAAATTTAATTTTTGTATTATTATTCTAAATATTCATAGGATATAGGCGGTGCTGGCTAGACCATTTATTATCCATCCCATAGAAGAAGATGGTAAGGGACCTTCTTGAGCCACTGCACTCCTTGGGGTGCAAGGATACCTACAGTGGTGTTGGGAATGAAGTTCCATGATTTTGACATGGCATCAGTGATAGAGTCACAGTCATACAGCATGGAAGCAAGTATAGTTTAAGATGGTATGCAGCTTGCAGCGGAACTTGCTGGGGTGGTGGTATTCTCATGCGTCTGCTGCTGTTGTCGTTCTATGTGGTAGAGGCCATGGGATGCTGTCATATGAGCTTTGGTGAGTTACTACAGTGCACACTGCTGCTAACTGTGTACTGGTGATGAAGGGAGTGAATATTGAAGATAGTGGATAAGGTGCCAATCATATTGGATGTTTTGTCCTGGATGGTATTGAGCTTCTTGAGTGTTGTTGGAGCTGCACTCCACTCTGCAAGTGGAGAGTATTTCATCACACCCATTGTGGGTGTTTCTTGTGGGTGGTGGACAAGCACTGGCAGGGAGACTAGAGCTGAACTACTTGCGAGAGAATCCTTAGATTGTGAGCTGCTCTTGCAGTGCTAACGTTGTGCTCATCAACCCCCTATTGGGCCTTCATAAAAAAAAATTAAGTTAGTTAGATGTGATTTACCTTTAATAAACCTGTGATGGCTTACCGTAATAATCCACAATTATCCAAGTGACTGCTACTTGTAGAAAAGATAATCTAGAACAAAGTCTTTGCTACCAATGATGTTAAACTGACTGGCCTATAGTTGCTAGATTTGTTCTTGGACACGTTTTAGAACAGAGATTTACAGTTTTCTGGCATAATCTTTGAGCGTAAGGAGGATCAGGAGATTATGGTCAGTACCTCTGCTATTTGCACCATGCCCTATCTCAGAATCTTCCAATGCCTCCAACCTGGTCTTCGTGACTTATCAATCTTTTAGGCTAATGACCTTTTAGCTAATAATCTTCCATTTCAGTTTTCTAGGAGAGTTCCGCTCTCAACCCACTGAAATTTGCACTCCTTCAATTCAGTATTTCTAGCTTGTTCCTTGCCCTTTAGAGAGCTAATGTAAGTCTTATGACAACACTGTTGCCAAAACAATCTTGTAATGACAATTGATGTGTTTGTCACGCAGGACCTAATTCACCAACAGTCCTCCTTTCTCAACCAAATAAAAATCAAAAGAACTGCAGATGTTTTAAACCTGAAACAAAAACAGAAGTTGCTGGAAAAGCTCAGCAAGTCTGGCAGCATCTATGAAGAGAAATCAAAGTTAATGTTTCAGATCTGGTGACCCTTCCACAGAACTGATTTCTCTTCACAGATGTTGCCAGACCTGCTGAGCTTTTCCAGCAACTTCCGTTTTTGTTTCACTCCTCCTTTCTCGATGGGCTGGCAGCTTAGAGTCAAGAAAATTCTTGTGAACACGTTTCAGAAACTCATTACTTTCTGTTCTTCATGTTAATAGTACTGCATAGTTCTCAGTCTAAAGATTACATCCAGGAATGTAACCTTTCCTCTGTTTCCTGCCTCCAACCAAATAGATTCTGTCCTTGACCCATCAAAGACATCCTCTCCAGCACTGCAATGTTTTCTTCAGTCAGTATTGCTATGCCTCTTCCTTGCTTTTCTGACCTAGCATTCCTGAACACCTTGTACCTGGGAATGTTTGTTATCCAGCCCTGCTCTTTTTTTGAGTCAGGATCCTGTTTTTGTTTTTCTACATGATCACTTGTACTTGAAGCTTATCAATATTATTTACCACACTATGCATTCTCTCATGTGCACGGTAAACCTAATTTAGACCTAAGTGTATTCTCTCTTCCTCTGAACCCATTTAATATCTTATTTTTCCATATCAGTGGTACTTATGTGCTAAATAACACATTGGCTCTGGCTCTATTCGGATGCTGATCTGTGCCAGTCCCATTTCCCTAGAACCAGTCTCAGGTTCTCTAAAATCTAAGGTCCTCCTGTCTGCATCATTTCTTTAAACATTTATCTGATCTGTTCTTTGTTTTCTGTATTCACTTTTGTATAGTTCTGAGAGTAATCTAGAGACTGCTACCTTTTTGAAGTCCTGCTTGCAAGTTTCTTTCCAGGCTCCTCAAACTCTTCTCCCACTTTGTGCTGATGTGAATCATGACTACTGGCTGTCTACCCTCACGAGTAGAGTGCCCTGCTACCCCTCAGTGAAATCCTGCCACTACTTGTCTCAGAATAAAGGGGTGCCAATTTAAGACTGAGATGAGGAGGAATTTCTTCTGTCAGAGGGCTGTGAGCATTAGGAACTGTTTACCACAGAGAGCTGTGTGGGCAGATCCTTGTGCATATTTAAAGCTGAGATAGATACTTGATCAGTATGGGAATTGAAGATTATGGGGAAAAGGGAGTAAAGTGGGCATGTGGAATGCCAGATCAGCCATAGTACTATTGAAAGGCAGAGCAGGCTCAAGAGCTGAATGGTCGACTCCTGTTCCTATTTTGTATGGTCTTATGGTCTTACTTGGGAGGCCACGTGCCATCCTGGATTCACATCTGAGGCCACAGAAATGTCTGTCTCTTCCCCTAACTATTTAATCCCCTGCGAGAAAAGACTTTGCAGAACGTCCAGGTTCTGTCTGCAGAAATGATCCTGAGCTTCTGGTTGCCTGCCATTTCAACACAACCGTGCTCCATAAGAACATAACAGAAGAAATAGAAGCAGGAGTAGGCCATCTGGCCCCTCGAGCATGCTCTGCCATTTAGTAAGATCATGACTAATCTTTTCATGGACTCAGCTCCACTTATCCGTCCACTTACTGTAACCCTTAATTCCTTTACTGTTCAAAAATCAGTCTATCTTTGCCTTAAAAACATTGAACAAGGTAGCCGCAATTGCTTCACTGGGCAGGGAAATCCACAGATTCTCAACCCTTTGGGTGAAGAAGTTCCTCGTTAACTTAGTCCTAAATCCGCTTCCATTTTGAGGCTGTACCCCTACTTCTAGTTTCACCTGCCAGTGGGAACAACCTTCCTGCTTCTATTTTAGCTACTCCCTTCACAATTTTCTATGTTTCTATAAGGTCCCCCCTCATTTGTCTAAATTCCAATGAGAGCAATCCCAGTCTACTCAATCTCCCCTCATAAGGCAACCTTCTCAACTCTGGAATCAACCTATGAACCCACTATCCACACCCTGCAGTGCCAGTACATCCTTCCTCAAGTGAGGAGACCAAAACTGTCCACAGTACTCCAGGTGTGGCCTTAGCAGCGCCCATACAGCTGCAGCATAACCGTGTTTTTAAAATCCATCCCTTGAGCAATGAAGGACAATATTCCATCTGCCTTCTTCATTACCTGCTGCACCTGCGAACTATTCGATACAGTCTGGAGCTGGAGGAACACAGCAGGTCAGGCAGCATCAGAGGAGCAGTAGGGTCAATGTTTTGGGCCTAGACCCTTTGTCAGGACTGGACAGGGGGAAGGAAGCTGGGAAATAAATAGAGGGAAGAGTGGGGCTAGGGGAAGATGGGTGGGATGGCAAAACGTGGATGCAAGTAGGGGATAGTGGGGAAGGCTGGGGCAGGAGATGAGTAGTTAGTGTCAGGTTAAGGAGGTGGGGATGAGAGGGAGGGTTGGACATGGAATGAGGCCGGGGGGGTGGGGAGATTTTGAAACAGTGAATTCTATGTTTAGGCCATCAGGCTCTAGGCTCCTGAGCTGGAATATGAGGTGGTGTTCCTCCAGTTTGTGTGTGGCATCGTTGTGGCAATGGAGGAGGCCCCGGATGGACATGTCATCCAGGAAGTGGAAGTGGAGGTGGGGAGGGGAGGTGTTAAAGTAGTTAGCAACTGGAAGGTGTTGCTGATTACAGGGTACAGAGTGCAGGTGCTCCATAAATCTGTCATTTAGTCTGTTTGGTCTCGCCAATGTAGAAAAGCATAGACTATTTTATAAATGGGGAGAAAATTCAGAAGTCTGAAGTGCAAAGAGAATTGGGAGTTCTAGTCCAGGATTCTCTCAAGGTAAACTTGCAGGTTGGTGGGCATATTATTGGAAAGGGCTCTGAGAGATAGGATTTAGGATCACTTGGATAGGCACAGTTCGATTCGTGATAGTCAGCATGGATTTGTGAGGGATAGATCATGCCTTATAAACCTTATTGAATTCGTAGAAGAGGTGACCAAACACATGGATGAAGGTAGAGCAGTGGATGTGGTATACGTGGATTTAAGTAAAGCGTTTGATAAGGTTCCCCATAGTAGGCTCATGCAGAAAGTAAGGAGGCATGGGAGAGGGGGAAATGTGGCAGATTGGATTCAAAATTGGCTGACCCTTAGAAGACAAAGGGTGGTAGTGGACGGAAAATATTCAACATGGTGCTCAGTTACGAGTGGTGTACCACAAGGATCTGTCCTGGGTCCTCTTCTATTTGTGATTTTTGTAAATGATTTGGATGTAGGAGTGGAAGGGTGGATTAGTAAGTTCGCAGACGATACAAAGGTGGGTCGAGTTGTAGATAGTGCGGAGGGCTGTTCTAGGTTACAAAGGGACATTGATAGGATGCAGCGCTGGGCTGAGAAGTGGCAGATGAAGTTTAACCCTGAAAAGTGAGGTGATTCATTTTGGAAGGACAAACTTGAAAGCAGAATACAGGGTTAACGGAAAGATTCTTGGCAGTGTGGAGGAGCAGAGGGATCTCGGGGTTCATGTCCACAGTTCCCTGAAAGCTGCCACCCAGGTGGATAGAGTTGTTAAGAAGGCGTATGGTGTGTTAGCTTTCATTAATAGACGGATTGAGTTCAAGAACCGTGAAGTTATGCTCCAGCTATACAAAAGCCTGGTTCCGCCACATCTGGAGTATTGTGTCCAGTTCTGGTCGCCTCATTACAGGAAAGATGTGGGAGCGTTGGAAAAGGTGCAGAGGAGATTTACCAGGATGTTGCCTGGAATGTAGGGAAGGTCTTACGAGGAAAGGTTGAGAGAGCTAGGGCTTTTCTCTTCAGAACGACGAAGGATGAGAAGTGATTTGATAGAGATGTACAAAATGATCAGAGGTATAGTTAGGGTAGACAGCCAGAGACTTTTTCCTAGGGTGGAGGTAGCTATTACGAGGGGGCATAGTTTTAAAGTGAGCGGAGGTAGATACAGGGGAGACGTCAGAGGTAGGTTCTTCACTCAGAGTGTGGTCGGGGCGTGGAATGCATTGCCGGAGAGGGTAGTGGAGTCGGCCTCATTAGGGGCATTTAAGCGGCTATTACGTAGGCATATGGATGATAGTATAAAGTAGGGGTGGAGGTTAGAGAGACCTTAGGTTTAGGGTAAAAGTTCGGCACAACATCATGGGCCGAAGGGCCTGTACTGTTCTGTGTTCTATGTTGAGTCAGTAGTCAAGAAGGCAAATGCAATGTTGGCATTTATTTTGAGAGGACTTGAATAAAAAAGCAGGGATGTACTACTGAGGCTTTATAAGGCTCTGGTCAGGCCACATTTTGAATATCGTGTGCAGTTTTGGGCCCCATATCTCCAGAAGGATGTACTGGCCCTGGAGCGGGTTCAGAGGAGGTTCATGAGAATGGTCCCAGGAATGGAAAGCTTAACATATGAGGAACGTTTGAGGACTCTAGGACCATACTCATTGGAGTTTAGAAGGATGAGGGGGAATCTGATTGAAACTTTCAGAATACTGAATGGCCTGGACAAAGTGGATGTTGGGAAGATGCTTCCGTTGGTGGGACAGACTAGGACCCGAGGGCACAGCCTTAGAGTAAAGGGAAGACCTTTTAAAACGGAGATAAAGAGAAACTTCTTCAACCAGAGAGTGATGAATCTATGGAATTCACTGCCACAGGAGTCTGTAGAGGCCAGGTCACTGAGTATATTTAAGACTGAGATAGATAGGTTCTTGACTATCAAGGGTTACGGGGAGAAAGCAGGAGAATGGGGTTGAGGAACTTCTCAGCCATGATTGAATCGCAGAGCAGATGTGATGGGCCAAATAGCCTAATTTCTGCTCTTATGGTCTTATTATTATAGATTCAAGCATCTTCCCCACTACAGAAGTTAAGCTAACGGGCCTATGGTTATCCACCTTTTGTTTACCTTTTGTTTTTACCAGTGGTGTCACATTTGCTGTTTTCCAATCTGCTAGAGTCAGCAAATTTTGGTCAGTTACCACAAGTGCATTTGCTGTTTTCCCCTGCCATCTCTTTCAGTACCCTCGGATGCATTCTATCAGGGCCAGGAGAATTGTCTACCTTTAACCCCATTAGCTTGCCCAAAACTACCTCGTTAGAGATAATGATCACTTCTTGGTCCTCACCTGCCATAACCTCCTTGTCATCACTCATTGGCATGTTATTTGTGTCTTCCACTGTGAAGATTGACACAAAATAGCTGTTCAACGTGTTGGCTGGATCCTCATTTCCCATTATTAAGCTCCCCTTCTCATCCTCGAAAGGACCAATGTTTACCTCAGCCACTCTTTTTCATTTTATATATTTGTTGAAACTTTTGCTATCTGTTTTCATATTCTGAGCTAGTTTACTCTTGTAATCTATCTTACCTTTCTTTATAGTATTCTTTTGTGCCTTTCTATTGACCTTTTAAAGATTTCCCATCCTCTGGTTTCCCACTAATCTTCGTATGCACTAGCTTTCAATTTGATACCCCTGTCCGTTTCCTTAGTTATCCATGGCTGGTTATTCCTATCCAACAGATCTTCCTTTTCACTGGTATATATGTTTGCTGAGCACTGTGAAAAATCACTTTGAAAGTCCTCCACTGTTCCTCAATTGCCCCACCGTATAGTCTTTGCTCCCAGTCTACCCAGCCAACTCCTCCTTTGTTTAAGTGCAAGACACTGGTATTGGATTTTACCTTCTTACCCTCCATCTGTATTTTAAATTCAACCATACTGTGATCGCTCCTGAGAGGATCCCTAACTGAGATCATTAATTACTCCTGTCTGATTACACAGAATCTAGGATAGTTTGCTCCTGCGTAGGTTCCATTACATACTGTTCGAAGAAACTGTCGTGGATACATTCTATAAACTCCTCCTCCCTTGACTGACCTTGTTTGACCAATCAAAATGTCGATTAAAATCCCCCCTTGATAATTGCTGGACCATTTTTACACACATCAGATATTTCTTTGTTTATTGCCCGCCCCACTGTGATGTTATTATTTGGTGGCATATAGACTATGCTTTTCAGTGAATTTTTCCCCTTGTTATTCCTAATTTCCACCCACAAAGGTTCAATGGGGAAAAAAGGTTGAATCAGTATCATCTCTCACTATCGCCCTGATGACATCTTTAAACATTAGAGCTACAGCATCTCCCTTTGCTTCCTGTCTGCCCTTCTAAATAGTTTGATATTCCTGGATATTCCCAGTCATGACCACTCTGCAACCATGTCTTCTGCAATGGCCACTAAATCATACCCATTTGCAATGATTTGTGCCGTCCACTCATTTATCTTGTTTCAAATTTTTTTTCTATTTGTTTTTCTTTACTCATTCACAAGATGAGTGCATTGCTGGCTAGGCCAGCATTTATTGCCCATCCCCATTGCTGTGGTTCTGGAGTCACATGTAGGCCAGACCAGGTAAGGACATTGGTGAACCCAGACGGTTTTTTCCGACAATCAGCAATGGATACATGGTCATCATTAGACTCTTAATTCCAGATATTTATTGAATTCCAATTCCACCGTCTGCTGTGGTGGGATTCAAATCTGCGTCCCTAGAACGTTTCCTGGGACTCTGTAATAACAGTCCAGCGATAATACCACTGGGCCATTGCTTCCTCGATGGCATTCAGGTGAAGTGCCTTTGTGCTAATTTTTATACCTTTTTGAATCCTAACACCTCCACCAGAAGAACCTTTGTTTTTAAACAATCCCTGGCTGACCTCTTGGTCTTGAGGCTTGCTGAAATGTTCCAGCAAAGCTCTGCGCAAGTTCTAAGAACAAGACGTCAGTTTCCACTTGCGAACCCTGCGCCCTCTGGATTCGATATCGTGTTCAATACTTGGAGGGCCTGAGCACCTTTTCCCATGTCATTACCCCAGTCCTCAAACACGATGCTTTGTCGTGACATAGACTGCTGCCACAAGCACCATTTTATCAGCACTAATGGCCTCCATTAGCAGCTATTCATTCTCTCAGGTTGACCTTGACCAATTCCTTTGTCTGCCCAACTCTCTTTTTCTCTCTGGGCTCCATTCCATCTATTGTTTACTTCTTACCCGCACCCCCCCCACCTCTCCCCCCCCTTCACCTCCACACCCACCCCTCGTCTGGCATATATACCAAACATTTCCTGGGTACTGTCAGTTCTGAAGGAGGGTCACTGGATCCAAAACTTTAACTCTTTTCTCTCCACAGATGCTGTCAGACCTGCTAAGCTTTTCCAGCAATTTCTGGTTTTGTTTCTAAACCTCTGTGACTATCACTTTTCCAGTAATCCTCCTATTAAATCATTAAAGGTGTTACTTAAATAATAAGTCTCGTTGGATACTCGGCAATCAACTGCTTCTGTTGGGCTGATGCCACTTTATTGGGGGTTGGGGGGAGGGGGAAAGGTTAACAGAACTGCTTTTTTAGTTCTCTGTTACTGTCCAAATCATTGATTTGCTGGAAAGTTGGATTTATTTACTTTTATTGCTCTCTTTTCTTAATTACTTTTAATTTTATCCTATAGAACGAATTCATTTAATTGAATACCAATTATCAAATTGGCTTTAGTTTTTTAACCTTTCTGTCACCTAGGCATAGTAGTAGTCACCTTCAATTATAGAGAGCATTTAAAATGCTTTGAACATCAAAAAGAGCAACATCAAATCTGGTGAAGAGACGCATATGTTCTTGAGGCACACATATGCATCTGTTGGTGTTGTTACGCTTAAAAAGTACTAAAATTAACAAACTAATTGTGTTTTAAAGGTCGTGATTAAACCAGACCTGGAACAAAGGATTATAAGACTGATTAACCAATTCAAAACCCAACAAGGCAAATCGGGAACCATCTCTGGAAGGCTCACAGCTAAAAAACTGCAGGTAATGCTGTTTGAGCCATTATTTGCAAATATTTCAAGCTCTTCAGGCAGTTCTTGGTTTGTGCTTGCAGTTAATACATGTTGTGGACCAGACTAAACCCCCTCAAAATATATTAATAAAATAGCCCAGACCCTAACTTTTTCTTTTTTTACTGGTAAGTGAAAGGCATTGTGTCCCAGATACAATTTGATTTGTCAAACTCCTTGACTTGCAGCAAAACATCCGTTATTTTTGCACATGGATTAATTTAATGGTAAATTGCTTGTCTGTTCCATAAATCCTTGGTGAGTATTTATGGCACATGGACTGTTGGACCTGTGGAAAGTGGCAAACATGACTTTGTATATTGTGGGAAGCTGATACTTCGTTTGAATATAATAGGAGTTTATTATAAGAACAGAAATTTTATGTTCTTAATAGTCTAATTGTGGTTGAGCAAGGGATAACTTTAATACGCTTGGGCCAGTAAGGCGTTCTTGGGATTTGAATGATGTTTATTTCTATAGTTTATGATATTTAACCTTTTAACTGTCATCTTTGATACTGGTGTTGTGTGTTTGTTCTAAGTATTTCCACTGCACTGTTACCTTTTCAGCTGAATTTTAAATTCAATTTTAGTTTTCTGTGATGTTTGAATATATACGGAATAATCTTTAAGTTTAAACAGCCTTATTAACTGAATGTCTGCGCAGGACCTATATGTAGCTTTGCAAGGATTTTCATTTCGTGCGGAGGACATTGAAGAAGCCATGAAAAATACTGTCATTTACGGCGGAGATCTTCATTCTGCTTTAGACTGGTTGTGTTTAAATCTTCCTGATGGTAAGTTGTTTGAATATGAATTTGTTGTAGCAATATAGAACATAGAACATTACAGCGCAGTACAGGCCCTTCTGTGACAAGCATGAAACGGACTTGGATATGGTTTGCCCTTTTCACTTCTTGGGGAAATGAATGTTTCCTTCTTCAATTCTGCAAAATGTCATCAATCTGAAATGCTAGGGGTTTTCTTTCTCCACAGATACTGTATGCCCTCTTTAGTATTATCAGAATTTTTTTCTTTTATGTCAGATTTCACGCATTTGTATTTTCCTTTTATATTACAAAAAAGATTGAATGCAACACTGCTGTCCTTATAAAACAGTGTGTCATTAGTCTTGCAATAAGTATTGGTTTATAAAATTCAGCAATACACTTTTTCTTTTGAAAATGTAAATCCATTTCCTTGACCTTCACTCAACCTTTCCAGCGTGGTTGCACAAAATCGTGGCCAAAAATCGTAGAATCTCTACAGTGTGGAAGCAGGCTATTCAGCAATCGAGTTCACACCACCCCTCCAAAGAGCATCGCAACCAGACCCATCCCACAACTCCATCCCTGAAACCCTGCATTTCCCATGGCTGATCCACCTAGCCTGCACATCTTTGGACTGTCGGAGGAAACTGGAACACCCAGAGGAAACCCATGCAACCACGGCAAATGTTCAAACTCCACACAGACAGTTGCCCAATGCTGGAATCAAATCCAGGTCCCCTTGCACTGTGAGGCACCAGTGCTAACCACTGACCCACCATGTTGCCCCATCCACTCAAATTCTACTCGGATGTTTTGTATCATCCTTGTGGAAACATGTGCCTCTTAACTAAAACAATGGCATATCCATAGGACGGCTCAGTGGCTCCGTGGTTAGCAATGCTGCCTCACCACGCCAGAGACTGGGTTCGGTTCCACCCTTGGGTGACTGTCTGTGTGGAATTTGTACATTCTCCCCTTGTTTGCGTGGGTTTCCTCCCACAGTCTGGTGGTGTGCAGATTAGGTGGATTGGCCATGCTAAATCGCCCATAGTGTCCAGGGACGTACAGGCTAGATAGAATAGACATTGGAAAATGTAGGGTTACAGGGATAGGATAGGGGGTTGGGTCTGGATGGAATGCTGTTTGGACGGTCGATGTGGTCTTGATGGGCTGACTGACCTGCTTCCACTCTGTAGCGGTTCTATGATTTCATACCTTTTGAAAAATACCAATAATAAAACATAATAAAAAGTAACAATACCAATAAAAAACCCAACAATAAAACTGATGGTAATTAAAATAAATTGCATTGTTCCAATGCTTTGCAGTTATACTGATGGTGTTGGTTTTAATTGTAAGCTTCTGTGTTTCCTTTGTGGTAAAAAGGAAATCAGAAGATTTTGTGTTTCATTGCAATAGGACTTGTGCTTGTACAGATGACAAAGAATGATGAGTGACTAAAAGGTATCTTTGTTCGTGACTGGAAGCTTAGGAAAGACAGTGGCATTCCTGGAGTACTTATCTTGGGTAATTTAATCGCTGCAATCGTAACTGTATTTTCCAGCATTACTTCGTTATTGATAGGGTCCTGGTTATTATGCAATAGAATTTTGTGCTGCATGTAGAAATTTAGTAGACCAGTCATGTAAATACATTGGCTACAAGAGAAGGTCAAATGCTGGTAATTCTGCAGTCAGTAACATGCCTCCTGATTCTCCAAAACCTGTCTATCATCCATAAGCCACAAATCAAGAGTGTGATGGATTATGAGCCAAGCTGCAGCAAGACTTGAAGCTCAACACCATCCAAGGTGAAGCAGATTGCTTGATCAGCATACATCTAACACTGCTAGTGCGCAGTAAATGTGTACCATATCCAAGATTCACTGCAACAACTCATTAAGTCTCCTTCATCAGTACCATCATCCAACCCTTGGCTAACACCTCATTGACAAGGATATCAGATGAGTGGCAACACCGTTACTTTCCAAGTTCCCCTCTAAGCCATCCTGACTTGAAAGTTTATCAGTCTTCTCTGTCACTGAGTCAAAATCCTGGAACTCCCTTCCTCCTGCACTGTGGTGTACCTGCAACCATGAAGGTAGTTCCCTGCCACTTCTTTGAGAACAAATAAAAACTGAAAGAACTGTGGATGCTGTAAATCGGGAACAAAAACAAAGTTGCTGAGGAAGGGCTCGGAACTGAATAAGGGTCACTGGACCCAAAACGTTAACTGTGTTTTTTCCTTCACAGATGCTGCCAGACCTGCTGGGCTTTTCCAGGAACTTTGTTTTTGTTGTTGTCTTTGAGAACAAATACTGGTCTAACCAGCAACATTCACACCTATGAATGAATTCAAAAAAAGGACAAGCAAAACTGGGTATTCATGGTAGCAGAACCAAAATTTTGATCCATCATTCAAATTATGTTCTGTTACAATTGGTATGGTTTTAAGAAAAACTGCAGTGAACTTTGTGGACTTTAGTAGTTTCAAAATCTCCCCACCCTTGGCCTCATCCCATGACCAACCCTCCCTCTCATCCCTGCCTCCTTGACCTGACACAACCTGTCTGTCTTCTCTCCCACTTATCTGGTCCTCTCACTTAACTGACCAATTCCCCACCACTGCCTATCTGCACTCACCTATCACCATCCCACCTACCTTCCCCAGCCCCACACCTCCTCTCTATTTATTTCAGAGCTTCCTTCCCCCATTTCTGAAGAAGGGTCCAGATCCAAAACGCCAGTTTTCCTGCTGCTCTGCTGCCTGGCCTGCTGTGTCCCTCCAGCTCCACACTGTGTTATCTTTGACTCCAGCATCTGCAGTTCTTACTATCTCTGCAGTGAACTAAATGGTGGCTTTGTTACATTTGGTTGGTTAAGCGATTTATTCATGTCTTAAATTTTCAATATGCTTTCTATCCATTGAGGTTGCAACTTTGTAATGTACAACTGTTCTTCTGACAAGTTTCTTTCTGCTGTACCAAGACAACAGATGAGCAATCTGCTTCTAGACTCTGCCTTTGTTTGACTGGATATTAGGAACCAAAGAAGAAGATCTTGTCAAGAAGAATGGAGTTTGTGTTCAGGAAGTTTATTTGGACTGGTTTATTTCAGGATATGTGCATATGAGGAATTGTGAATTTAATCTTAATTTGCTAATGTTGGTGCAGCCAATTTATTAAAAAATAGTTTCCCATTTAATTGGTTTGATATGTAACTTTTATTTAAGATTCATTACCTGATGGATTCAAGCAGAAACTGCAGGAGGAAGAGACCAAGACCAAACCCAAATTCCAGATGCCTGTGAAAGCTGAAATAAATTATGAAAAATCTGAGGGTCGAAAGGGTGATGATAAACTTCAAACCAAGGTGAGATTATAAATATTTTGTCAAGTTTAATGTTTTTAGCAAAAGGTGAATAGAAGAATGGTGATGTGCCTTTCTATTTTGCATTTTGCCTTTTATTTTAGAAATATGATTTTCATGCATTACTAGTTCCATGTGCTGCTGTTTGCTTATTACAGTGTTGAAAATGCAAAGAAGGTCCAATTAATCATAGTTGAATTTTAATATATGTAAGATTTTATTGCTTTTTCTTGAGGTAAAACATATTTAATTTTTGAGATACTGAACTATTTGGACTTTGTATGGAGTTGTTTTGTCATAATCGTTTGGTCACCTGATCTGTCATCTTTTGAATGACTTCTGCGTTCTTAAAACTGCTGTTGAAGCATGTTGCTATTATTTAACTGTTTATATTACGTGTTATTATTTCCCATGAGCAATGTGGTCAGTATGTGCCCAATGAGTTGAGGTTACTGGATTACAGTAACTGCCATTAGTTTGAGATCACAGCTGATCTGATCGTCCTCAACTCCACTTCCTGTGTTTTCTCATAACACTTGATTGCCTTACTGATTAAAACTTCCACCTCAGCTCTGAATATATTTTATGACCCATCCTCAACAGCCCTCTTTTGTAAAGAATTTTGCAGGTTCACTGCCTTCGGAGAGAAGAGATTCATCCTCATCTTTGTCTTAAATGTGCAACTCCTTATTCTGAGATTATGCACTCTGGTCCTGGTCTCTCTCACAAGACGAAACAACCTTTCTGCATCTACCTGTCAAGTCTCCTAAGAGTCTTGTATGTCTTAGGTCACCTTTCATTCTTGTACATTCCAATGACTACAGGCCCAATCTACTCGACCTCTCCCCACAGTTCCTCTGTGCCTGATATCAGACCAGCGAACCGTATCTGGACTAAGGTAGACAAACAGAAGGCTGGAAGAACGCAACAGGCCAGGCAGGTAATACCCGAAACGTTGACTGCTCCTTTCTTCCAGATGCTGCCTAGCCTGTTGTGTTCTTCCAGCCTCCTGATTGACTGACTACCTTGGATTCCAGCATCTGCAATTTTTTTGTCTCTAATCTTCTCTGGATTGTCTGATGTCAGTTGATCTTCTCTTAGATAAAGAGAATAAAATGCTCAGTGTTCCAGCTTTCTTCTGACCAGTGCTTGTTATAGTTTTGGCTAAACCAACCTATTTTTATTGTCCATTCCCTTTTGAAGTAAAGGCCAACATTCCATTTGCCCTCCTTATTACCTAGTGTACTTGAATGCTAGCTTTTTGGGCTTCTTGGATGAGCACTCCTAACTCCCTCAGTTTTGCAGATTTCTGCAGTGTTTTTGTATTTAACTAATATTTGGCTCCTCTATTCTTCCTTCCAAAATGCATAACCTCACGTTTCACCACATTATGCCTTTGCTCACTTGTTTAACCTGTTTATATCCTACTCCGTACTGTTTGTGTGATCCTCAACACTTGCCTTCCCACATGTTTTGTGTCAGATACAAACTTAGGAATAGTACATTGACTTTCCTCATCCAAGCTATTCCTATATGTCGTACACAATTGTATCCCCAGGATTGACTCTTTAGCACACTACTCGTTGTACGTTGCCACTCCTGAAAATACCCCCTTATCCCAAGTCTCTGCCTTCTATTAGTGGCTAATCCTTTACCCATGCTAATATACTATCCCCAATACCATGAGCTCTTATCTTAATAAGTAGCCTAATATGTAGCACCTTATTAAATGCCTTCTGAATATCTATTTCTATTACATCCACTGGTTCCCCTTCATGATCTGCTTGATCATAATTATGCTTTTCTATTTGCTCTGCTATCCTTTTATAAATGACTCTGGCACTTTTTTTCCCAAAAAAGGATGTTAAGCTAACTGGCCTAAAGTTTGCATTTGATTGTATCCTCTTTTTAAGTAAACGTATTACATTGGCAGATTCAAATCCTATGTTATCTGTCTTGATATTACTTGTAAGTTTACTTTCATGGTTTATTTCCTCGCTCTTTAGTTTTGTTTGGTTGTCTTATGTTGTTTTTAAAGCTTTCCTAAACCTCTGGCTAATCATTTAATCTTTGTCACATTGTATTTTTTCTTTGCTATCCTTCACTTCCTTGATGGTTGGCTTACCCCCTCCTAAAACCCCCCCTCCATCACTGTATTATGTCTTTGCTATTAGCAATGAACTAATTTCTTAAATATCTAACGTTGCAGTTCAATTGTCTTTGCTGCTAAACTTCTTTCTCAGTCCACTCCAGCCAGCTCTGCAGCCATTCTTCTGTAATTATGCTTTTTAAGCTTAGCACCATTGTTTCCGACCCGAGTTCCTCCCTCTTAACCTGAATGCTAAATTCTGCCATATTATGGTCGCTGTTTCTGAGGGGATCTTTCACTCTGACCTCATTTAATATGTGCTTCATTACATACCATCAGATCCAAAATTGCCTGATTCCTGGTTGGATCCATAGCATACTCTTCTTGGAATCTCAATTCGCTGTATGAATTCTTCTCTTTGGCTACCTCCTGCGGATTTGGTTTTCCCAATGTAAATGAGGATTAAAGTTGCCCATGATTAATGTGCTCACTTTGTTGTATGCCCTTATTATCTTCTGAGTAATTCTCTGTCCGACTGAAAAACCACTGTTAGAGGGCCGACAGACTATTCCTACCAGCATTGTCTTTCCCACTTACCTTTCTTACTTCCACCCATATGTTCTTGATATCGTACTTATTCCATTCCATACCAACAATACTACCCCATCACCCTTTCCTTTCTGCCTGTCCTGGCTTCTTGCTCATGGTAGAGTTGGGGATATGCAGACCGTGAGGTGTCATGTTGTTTTCAAAAAATTTTTCTGCTGCTGCTGATTGAGACACAGCGAGCATGGATGCCCAGATTTGAGTTGGTAAAACTGTTCAAAGTCTGTCCCATTTAGCATGGCAGTCATGCCACACTGCTGGTTGCAGGGTGCATTCAGTGTGCAATAGGACCTTCACTCCATAACAACTGTGCAGTGATCACTCCTATCAGTACTATCACGGACAGATGACTCTGAGGTTTCCTTCCTTGTGTTTGCCCTCATGTCATGAGACATTGTGGGTCTGGAGTTAATGTTGAGGGCTCCTAGGAAAAGTCTCTCCTAACTGTGTACCACTGTATCTAGCCAGTGATGGTGGTGAATGTATCTGGGACATTGTCATTGTCATTAATGTTAGGTATGATTCCATGAGCTTGATTGTCAGCCTGTTGCTTGACTAATCTGTGGGAATGCCTTTCCAATTTTGGCAGATGTCCCTGATGTTCATAAGGAGACTTTGCAAGGTCAAGAAGGTTCATTTGACATTGACAGAGGCACCAGAAGAAAACAATGCTGGATTGAATGCCTGGTTTCATTCCTTTCTTTGAATTTTAGAGACGCTTTAGGAAAACTGCGTGTTTTGCGTACCGTTTAAGAAGGGATTTAAAAGTCAACCACATTGCTGTGGATCTATAGTTACATGTATGCCAAATTAGGCAAGGATAACAGATTAGTGGCACGAAAGGACATCATGTAACCAGATGCTCCTTTTGAATGGTCAAGAATGATTACATGGTCACCATAAGACTAGTTTTTCACTATAAATTTTATTGAATTTGAAATTCCAGCATTTGTCATTGTGAAATTCGAACCCATGTCACAAGAACATTAGCTGGGCCCCTGGATTACTAGTCCAGTGGTGTTACCAGTGCCAGGCAAATATCCAGTTTGTAAATATTTTTGTGAAAGTCTAAGACCTGTTTAAATTGAATTCTGAGGAACGTGAATTACAATATTTTCTTGCTGATAGGCTGCTGAAAGTGGAAACACACAAGTTAGCATGAAGGAATGGATTTTACAATATGCTGAAAATGCAAGTAGTAGCGGAGATGATGACAGTGATGATCAGGATAATGAATTACCTGAGAAGACTTGTGAAAAGGAAGAACGCTTTGATCCGGTGAGTATAAAAATCATTCGAACTTGCATTTATCTTCAGATGATGAAACGTGGCATGACTTGTACTTTTCTTTCCTCTTCAGTTTTTTTCTCCTGAAGACACTGGAGGCCTGTTGATTTGTTAAAATTCCATCTATGGCCGGTGCCCATCAGCACCTCATTCAATAATGTTTTTGACTGAATTATGTTAATTTTACCAAGCTATTGCACTGTGCACGATGTCAAAATTGCTTGAAGCCTTCAAAAACAACCCATTTTGTGGCATCCCAGCAAAGGAACATTCACCCTGATTTTTAACACTTAGTTGTGTGCTGTCTGAAATTGGATAACTGGCAAAAATTGGTTAAATCAAATTTCTTGTGATTTTACCTCCCTCAGGGAAGCAGTTTCAGAAATGTCTTGGAAAAGGTTTGGTCAGTTGGAAAAGTTGGACCTGGTCCTGTTTTGTTTTCTTACCACCATTTTCTATATTACTGCATATATTTACCATAGCATATTGCACATAAAGGTCTTTTATGGAAATTCAAGGAGATTTCATTTTCTCATTGAACAGAATGAGCTTTACTTGGAGCTGACAGCAAAGCTAGTTGATGTCAAAGAACGGGCTCTATCCTTTAAACAGAATAATAACAAACAAGCTCACAGAGAAGCAGGTGAAAGAATAAAGATACTACAACAGGGTAAGAACGTAGTTCCTCACTTTGACCAATTATTGTATTGATTTCTTTTAGAAAAGTAGTTTAAAAATTAATTGCTATACTGTTAATGTAGCTGTGGCCTGGAAGGGCAAGAATTAGAGCAGTACTCAGCAAAATGTATTTTTCTGGGTCTTCTGTTGAAGATTGGGCTTAATTTGACATGGTTATATTGAAAACGAAAGTTTTTGCTGGATGACATCTGAAATAACTCCAGAAGCCAGTATCCTGTCACTAAGTCATCCTTTATTTACACATGGAGATTCCTTGACACTGATAAGCTCCCTCAGAGTGTTTTTGTCAGACTATGTAACAGAAAAGAGAACAGTAGTTATAGAACATGGAGAAAGTTTGAATTATGAGAAAAAGTGAGACAAGTCTAGGAAGAAGATTGTCTTGAATGTAAAATGTTGAATCACATTGTAAATGCAAATTATTTTGAAATTTAACATGAAAAATGACTCAGCAACGTTAAACCACATTGGAACTTCTTTGGTGAATTATTTGCGTTGAATTTCATGATATTTTGAGTCTGAATTCGAGCAGCTACTCTATGGCTGGAAGTTGCAAGTTTTCCAATTGTCCTTAAACTTTGTGCCTTGGGAAATATGGATCATGCTTTCCATTTTAACTTTTTTGGTATAGAGATTAAACAGTTGGAGAAGCATCCTGCTTTTGATCCTTCAGTCAAGATGGTAGACTTGAAGAAGAATGACAAAAGCTCACCTGAACATCCTGATGATAAGCACGAAGATGCCCTGAACCTAACCTTGCTGGAAGAATCAACACCAAAATTAAAAGAGAAATGTAAGTAACTGTATATGAAACACTTGTTTGGATAACATTTATAGCATGTTTATCATAGAACTTCTGTTCATTCTTTTATTTTAACTTTATTGCCATTATAGCAAGAAATGAACCAAAGGATGTACGGAACTTTGACTACACTTCACGAAGTTGGACAGGGAAGTCTCCCAAGCAATTTCTGATTGATTGGTGCCGCAAAAACCTCCCTACTAGTCCAGCTCCTAACTATCGCAAAATCCCTGTGGGTAGATTCTGGAAGTGTAGGTTTGTAAGTTTTGTTGTGCCCTTTATCAAAATCCACAAACTTGTTCATATTTTAGCCTTGGTAATATTAAGGATTTAATGGAAATATCTGTTTCTCTCAGCCTAACATTTCTGTTGATTTTAAGCTCCCACGGTTCATTGTTTCAAAGAAAATTTTATAGGATTCTGTTAAATTATCAGGGAGAAAAGCCATTACCATCCTTATTAGTTGATTTTTTTTCTCCTCTTAAAACTAGGGAAAAAAATTAATAAGGCATTCTATGTGCCTTTCTTAAACTCCTTCCTTGCTTCCCAAATCTATGTCCAAAATGGGAATGACATTTTAGAGTCATAGTCATAGAGCTGTACACCACATTCACTATCCTGTCTACCTGCATCTCCACTTACAAGGAACTATGAATCTGCACTCCAAGGTCTCTTTCGCTCCCCAGGACCTTACCATTAAGTGTATAAGTCCTGCCCTGATTTGCCTTTCCAAAATGCAGTACCTCACATTTATCTAAATGAAACTCCATCTGCCACTCCTCGGCCCATTGGCTCATCTGATCAAGATCCCGTTGCACTCTGAGGTAACTTTCTTCATTGTCCACCACACCTCCAAATTTTGGTGTCATCTGTAAACTTACTAACCATACCTCCTATGTTCACATCGAGTCATTTATATAAATGATGAAAAGCAGTGGACCCAGTATACCAATCCTTGTGGCACACCGTTGGTCACAGGCTTCCAGTCTGAAAAGCAACCTTCCACACTGATGCAAAATACTCATCTCGTATCTCCCACATCTCCTGTGGTTCCACGCATAGGCGGCCTTGCTGATCTTTAAGGGGCCCTATTCTATCCCTAGTTACTGTTTTGTCTTTGTATTTGTAGAATCACTTTGGATTATTCTTAACCCTGCTTGCCATACTCCTACTGCCTTTATCCTCTTCTTAGGGTTCACTTGATCCCTGCTGTCTGTACCTGACGTGTTTCCTTCTCAATTTCTCTAGTCACCCCACGTTGCCTACACCTACCAGCCTTGGCCTTGAACTTTAACTTTTAGATCCGGTCTATCCTTCTTCATCAATATTTTAAAACTAATAGACTTTTGGCCACTAGCTCCAAAGTGCTCCCAAGAGTAGGTTTTGCACCTTCTCTAGTTGGTACACCCACATACTGAATCAGAACATTTTCCTGTACACATTTTAACAAATTGCGCTCCATTCAACCCTTAACACTATGGCAGTCCCAGTCTATGTTTGGAATGTTAAAATCTCCTACCGTAACTGCACTATTATTCTTACAGATAACAGAGATCTCCTAACAATTTGTTTCTCAATTTCCTGCTGACTTGGTGGGTCTGTACTACAATCCCAATAAGGTGATGATCCCTTTCTTATTTCTTAGTTCCACCTAAATAACTTCCCTAGATGTAATCCCAGGAATATCTTCCCTAAGTACAGCTGTATTATCCCTAATCAAAAACACTACTCGCCCCCCCTCCCCCTCCCCCTCTTGCTCCTCTTTCTATCCTTCAGAAAGCATCTATACCCTGGAATATTATCTGCCAGTCCTATCCATCCCTGAGCCACGTCTCTGTAATTGCTTTTATCCCAGTCCCATGTTCCTAACCATGTCCTGAGTTCATCTGCCTTACCTGTTATTGTATTGAAATAAATGCACTCAAGCACAATTTGTAACCTCATGGCCTGGCATATCCCCCGCTCAACCATTACCATCAAGCCAGGGCATCAACCCTGGTTCAGTAGAGATTACAGGAGGGCATGCCAGGAGCAGTACCAGGCATACCTGAAGATGAGGATCAAGTTGGCAAAGCCACTAAACACAACTACTTGCACGCCAAACAGCAAAAGCAGCAAGTGATAGATATAGCTAAGCGATCTCACAACCAACGGATCAGATCTAAGCTCCGCAGTCCTGCCACATCCAGTCATGAATGGTGGTGGACAATTAAACAACTCACTGGAGGAGGAGACTCCACAAATATCTCCATCCTCAAATGATGGAAGAGCCCAGCACATCAGTGCTAAAGATAAGGCTGAAGCATCCATAGCAATCTTCAGCCAGAAGTGCCGAGTGATAGATGATAATGAAATAGTTTAGGTTAGAGTTATGGATTAGTAATTGATGGATTTTTGCTTTTGGTTAAAAACAGTTCAATTACAATAAAAGTTATTTTCTCGTTAATGGAAAACCTGTGGTGTATATTCTTTTCACCTGACAGGTAAAATTGGCAACTCTGTGGCATAATCAAATTTTTGTGATGACTAAAGGAACCGTGGGGACAGCAATAATAGATTGTTTGAATCTACATATAAACTGGAAAAATTAGACTGGCAATAGAACCTTGGATGAGTTCAGAGATTGCTTTTAAGGTAGTTTCTTAGAGCATCACGTTTTGAAACTGACCAGAGAGGAGGCTATTTTAGATATGGTATTGTGCATTGTGACAAGATGAAATAATGGTCTCCTTCATGAAATTCCAGTGTAGAAACAACTGCAGTTTACAGTTTACATCCAGTTTGAAATGTTAAAGTTGGGGTTTAGACTTGTGTTTTGAACCTAAATATGGGTACCTATTTGCATGGTCAGGTTGGGTTAAAGCACGTCAACTTGCAAACTAAGGTCAAGATATAGTAGAAACATAAGAATTGATCTCTAAGGGGATATTTCAGAATAGGTAGAACAAGTGTATTTCTAAAATAAAGCAAATTCTAAAGGGAAGACCGAGCATCAAAAGTAAACAGAAAAAATATATATCTGTGCAAAGGTGAGTGGCAGGTCAGATGATTGATCAGAATATAACAAACAGCTGAAGATGACCAAAAGATTAATTAAGACAAAGAACTTAGAATGAGAGGACCTAACTAGGAATGTAGAAATGGTTAAGAGTTTCTTCAGGTATTTACAAAAGAAAGAGAAGTCACGTGTTGGTTCTCCAGAGACTGAGAATGGGGAGTTAAGAGTAGATAAGAAGAAAATGGCAGGTGAAGTGAACAAACATTTTGCCCCTGGCTTCATTGTAGAGAATACAGTAACAATTGTGGTAATACCTGTAAATCAGGAGGTGGAAGAGAGATGGAAACTTAGTGAATATTCCAGTCAAGGGGGAAGTGATATCAGGCTAATATCAAGTGATATTAGATTTATGAAGCGGTAGGCTGTCCAATCTCCAGGGTCAGTCGGATTTCATCCTGTAATGTTGCTCATGTATTGTGTTAATTTTCCAAAATTCCTGTGATTCAGGAATGATTCCATTGGAAAGCAACAAATATAGCCCTTCCACCCAAGAATAGATGGAAGCACGAAACAGGAAACTATAGGCAGTTAGCTTGACATCTGTTGTGGAGATAGTGTTGGAATCAATTGTTAAAGACACCATAGTTGCACACACAGACAAACTTAAGATAATCTGGAAGGGTCAGCATGGTTTCCTCAAAGGGAAAGCATGTTTAGACATTTTATTGGAGTTCTTTGAAGGAGCAACGTACTGTACAATAAAAATAAGCTTTTAGACATGCTGTACTTGGTTCTCAGACAGAATTTGATAAAGTGCTACATCAAAGGTTATTGCAGAAAATCAAAACTCATGGTGTTGGCAGTAATACATGTGGGAAAACGTCAAGGTGTTGGCAGGAAGAATAAAAACGTAGAGAATTGTTCAAATGGAGAACAAATGCACAATTCTGAGGTGTAGAAGGAATTAGGTATTCCGGTGCACAAAAGAAGTTAGTGTGCAGGTATGGTACATGAGCAACTCATTCACTTATTGATTATGAATTATAAAGGAAGGCTGTGGAGGCAGGGTCATTGATACTCTGAAGGTAGCAATTGATAGATTCTTATTAGGCTGTGGAATCAAGAGTTAGCAATGATAGATATGCATGTTGGAATTGAAGCACAGACAGATCAGACATGATCTTATTGAATGGCAGAGCAGGCTTTAGGGACTGATTTGACTACACTTAGTTCATATGTTCATATGTGTAATTTTATAATTTATTATTTTGGTACACTATATGAATTTAATATATTTAAATATATAAATGCACAGCACCCTATGTTATCAAGGCAAAAGGAATTTGTACATACATTGCAGCTTTTTTGAAAAATGGATTTGTGGAAAAAGCTAATCCCTGTTGTATCCCACTTGACAGCACCCTGGTCTGAGAATTCTGATGAGCAGTTAGCTGTTGCTACATCTGTATGTTGATATGTCCCCACCAATGAGCACCGTCCTCTCATCGTGTAGTCCTTGCTTCAAGTCAGTTTTTACGTCATAGTCCTGATGAGTGCAAGATAAAAAGCTTCAGCTTCTTTCTCTTTTTAACAATGTTTATTATTTAATTAATAATGCTGTATGATGTGGGAGCTGTGGTGTTATGTAGAGAAAAAGAAATGAGACAAGTACACAAATTAGCTCATTTGTGATATTCTTTCCCAAGAATAGGATAAGGGAATAAATTTCAAAATAGCACAACTGCTGAGCTGATCGTTATGATTGCAAATGTTTCCCACGATTATGCAATGACATAAATCTGCCACTAAGTATTATTTTTATTTTGTTCAGTGTAAGAGTAAACAGGCAGAAAGATGGAATACTGGAAGTATGTCCCACAATTCTCACAGAGGATGCCATGCAAGCCCAACATCTGGCATCTACATTGGCCCTGTGGCATTTAGTAAGAGGACAGGTAAGGTTATGCATTTAATATACATTGCCATTGAATACATTTGGAAGCCTGCATTTTTTTGTTCTATGTCTCAGGAAATGGACAGTCAGAAGTCGCACAATACTTGAACAAAAGAACATATGTATATTTTTGAATAAAAGCTTTATATAAATGACTTTTGCAAAGGATTTTAACATAAACTGCTAAAAGAAAGATTCAACGTTTTTCTCCAATAATATCTACGAAGATGTCAACCCCAGAGAAGTCTTTTCATTTCAGGAATTCCCAGTCGGCTGACTTGATGCACATCACATATGTAGTTCTCTCTGTCTCTCCCAGCACACACACCAATATAAATGAACTAACCTTTTCTAGCCCCCCTCCTCAGACTGCAGAAACTACTTTAGACCTCTGTCCAGCTCTGCTGGCCTGGAGATTGCTTTCCAACTCTGGAGACTTCTTTAAAAAACTGAAAACCGCACCTTTGCTGGTATGAATTCTCTTCTTCTGAACTTAACCTGCTTGTGGCCTATGTCATCTGTTTCTGTTAATCATAACATTCCCTTTATAAATGTTCAGCAATCAACCTCCCATGTAGCGGTTTGAGTCATCTAGCTCAAGAGTCATGCTTTCTTATCTTTAGTTCATTGTTCCAAATGACTTTCTAACTCTTTCCATTATGTAAATTGTCAACTTCTCAGAACTAAGAACTAGAATCTATTGTTCGACCACTTTCAAATTTAAGCTGCCAAATAATAATAACATATATTTGTCACTCTTGATATGCAGTAACTTCATAGAAAATATATTTGTGTGGATGCTAAGCAAATGTATAATCTGACTCTGTGGTGCCTGCTGCCATCCACAAATAGTCAGATCACCTTATACTTATTTACTAGGTAAGTGGTCATTGATATATAGATCTGCGGACCTGTAATTTATGAGAAGATAATATTTTAATTGCAGGTGAAATGAGAGGGAGAGTAAATTATCAGTCTTTGCAGTTTTGTTTCCCAGTTAAATATCTCTTTTTATACAGAAGCTAAGCAGTATAGTTTTTTCCTGAGGAAATGTAATTGAAATTTTATTGCTTTGTCAGCAAACACTCATTTGAAGTAACATCAATTTTGACAGCATCGAACAGACTATGCACTGCTCTAGCAATCCTGTTTGTTTGACTTCGTTCTTTCAACTGCCCTAATTGCTTAAATGTATTGTGAATTAAATACTAGAAAAATCAATGGAACTTTGAAAGGTCTATTTGATTTCTTCTGTTGCAAAAGATAATTTTGGCTCATTGTCTGTTACTTTTTTTTTGAAGAAGCAAAAAAAAATCCCATTGAAATAACAGCCATTAGATTCATTTCTTCATGTTGTGCCTTCTCTTGCGATCGTAGGAGGAGAAGTAGACCATTCAATCCCTCAAGCCTCCTCTGCCATTCAATAACATGATAGCTGATCTGTTTGTATTTCAAATTTCACATTCTCTCCATCTTGAATAACCCTTTAATCCTCTGCCAAACAGAAGCTATCCATCTCTCTGTCTTAAATATATTCAATGACTCTGCCTCCGCTGCTTTGAGAGGTAGAGACTTCTAAACTTCTGCTGAGACAAAAATTCCTCTCATCACTACCCTGAAAAGATGATTCCTAATTTCAAGTCAGTGCCCACTTGTTCAGAACTTGCCCACAAGAGGGAACTTGTCGATACCATTCCAATAAGATCATAAGATGAGGGACAGAAATAGGTTATTCAGCTAATTGAGTCCACTCTGCCTTTCAGTGCAATCATGGCTAACCTGATAATATTCAACTCCACTTTCCTGTGTTATCTCCATAACCTTTGATTCCTTTAATGATAAGAAATCTGTCTATCTCAGCCTTGAATACACTTGGCCTTGACAAGCCTCTGTAGTAAAGATTTCCACAGATTCACAGTACTCTGTGAGAAACAAAATGCTGTACATCGTTGTCTTAAATAGGTGACTCCTTAGTTTGCGATTTTGCCCTCTGGTCCTAGAGTCTTTTTGCATCAAGCCCTCAAGAATGTTGCATGTTTCAATATGATCTCCTGTCATTATATAGAACTCCAATGAGTACAAGCTGAACCTAGTTGCCTCTCCTCATGAACTGGTTCATTCATATACCGTAAGTCAGCTTCGTGAACCTTTCTCTGCACTGCCTCTAATGCCAGTATATCTCCCCTTAGGTATTGGTCCGAAAACTGTTCAGTATTCCAGCTACAGTCTGACCAGTGGCTTGTATAGTTTTAACAAGACCTTCCTATTTTTATTTCCCAATCCCTCTGAAATAAAGCCCAATATTCCATTTGCCTTCCCCTATTATCTACTAACCTTGCATGCCAGCTTTTTGTGATTCATTAACTCGTGCCCCAGATCTGTCTGTGGTGTGACAATCTGCAGTCTTTTCCAATTTAAATACTATTCAACTCTTCTATTTTTGCCAAAATGGATAGCCTCACATTTTCTCTCATTATATTCCATCTGTTAAGTTTTTCCCACTCGCTTTACCTGTCTGTAACCCCTTCTAAACTTCTCTGTCATTCTCAAGACTTGTTGTCTTGTATATTCTTGTGTCATCCACAAACCTGGCCACATTCACTTTTTCTCATCCAAGTCATCAATATATATCGTGAACAATTATAGTCCCAAACCTTGTGGCATTCCATACATGCTACATGCTATCAATGTAAAAATGCCCCCTTCATCCCAACACTGTCTTCTATTCATTGATCAATCCTCTGATCATGCTAATCGACTTCACCAACGCCATGGGTTCTTATTGTGCAGCCCTATGTGCGGTACTTTGTGGAATGTTTTTATAAGTTCAGATATATTGCATCTACTGGTTCCCCTTCGTGTTCCCTGCTTGTTAGTTCCTCATGACTGTGGTAAATTTGTCATGCATTTTTATCCTTTCATGAAACAGTATTGATTCTGTTTGATGATGTATTAAGTGTTTTTAAGTGCTTTGTTGTTACATCCTTCATAATAGATTCTAACATTTTCCCAACAGTGCACACTAAGCTAATTTGCCCATAAGTTAATTGTTATATGCCTCCTTCCCTTTTTAAATAATGTTGCATTGGCAGAATCTAAGGATTCTTGGATTATTATCTACAACCATGATCTTTGCAGCTACTTCATTTAAAATTTTAGTCATCCACTCAGAATGTTAGTTATTTCAGTTAAATGAACCTATACTGTTCTGAACTCCAGTATAACCAATCGCAGTGTCTTCATAAGAGAACGCACTCATTCCAGGTCTCAATCCAGTGAGCCTCCCCTGAACCGCCTTCAGTGCATTGGCATTCATCCTTATGTTGTGGACCAGATCAACCACCTTCAAATATATCAAGGAGATAGCCGAGTCTCTAACTTTTATCTAATTTAAAGGCAAGTGTTCCAGATGTAATTCGATTAGTTACACTGCTTGGCTTTAAGCAAAACACCCTTTATTTTTAGCCCACAGTTAAAATACAAACAAAAGAGAGAAGATTTGGTATAACTTCAACTCTCTTGGAAAACTTAACAGAATAATAGATTATTTAACTACTAAACAGCAACTATTCTGACATAGTAATGTCCCATAAACACACCCTTGGCAAAGGTAAAGTCAGTAAAACAGATTGTCACACAACAGAGAGAGCGGGAGACGTAGCAACTTCCACAGCCAGCTTCAAAGCTCCAACAACTCCTTTAAAGCTAAATTAAAACCCTGGTTCTGTGGGAGTCTGACTCCACCTGTTCATACTGCTTCTGTTGTTCCAACTTTTTAAAAAAAAAAAATCAAAGCTTCATAAGCTGCTTATTGGCTCAAAACTTCTTTCCAAAAAAAATGACAAAATACATCTCTTAAAGCCATTGTATCATCACACTTAAATACTGAATATTGAGATATGGTCTCACCAGTGACCTATATAACCAGCATAATATCCATCATCATCTTGATTGCATCTTTTACCTGCATACTAATCTTTTGTGACTCATGTGTTATGTAAATTCTAAGAGATTATGAGCTCTGAGATACAGATGGATCTGGATGTCCTAGTGCGTGAATCACAAAGTTAGCATGCAGGTACCAGCGACTGATAATAGAGTATTGTATTATTTCTCACTCATAATAAATGATAAAAGTAAGGAGAATATGCTTCATTTACACAGAACATGAGAGAGACACATCTTGAACAGTGTGCACAGTATTGGTCAACATATTTCAGGAAGGCCATTTAGAAGAGTGAGAGGTGGTTTAATTGAAATATGCAAATTCGAAGCAGAAGTTGGCCATTTGGCCCTTCTTGCCTGTTCTGTCATTGAATAAGGTAATGGCTGATGTATTTGCGTTTCAAATTTCACATTTACATGTATTCAATAACTTTTTTGATTCCCTTTCCTAACAATAAAATGAACAATAACCTTCTTAAAGATATTCAATGACCTTGCTACCTCAGAAGGTGGAGGTGGTAAGATCCAAAGTTGCACAATACTTTGAGAGGAAAAACTTCTCCTTACTGACTTTCTAAAAACAGTGTCCCCTAGTTCTGGAGTCACTAACAAGAGTTAAGATCTTTCCAAGTCCACTTCTTCAAAACCCCTGACCATTCTATCCACTATGAACATTCAGGATCTTTATAAACTTCAATCAAATCATCCCTTGCCCTTCAAAGCTCTATTGAAAATAAACTCAGCCTATTCAATATTTCCTCAAGACTAAAACACTAATTTCAGGTATCAATCTAATAAATTTGCTCTGAACAATTTCTAGTGTATTTGCATCCTTCCCTAAATAAGGAGACCAAAACTGCAGACTGTATTCCAAATGTGGTCTCATCATTGCCTTGTGTATCACACTCTGTGATTAATGGAATAACAAAATAGCCTATTTTAAGCAAGAATTGTCACTTTCTTTTTGGAGGAGGTCTTGTTTTTGGATATACGAATGGAATGACTGTATTTTCGAACCTCTGTATATCGAGCTTTAGCACTTTTCTTTTAAAATTTCAGGCCGTACATCAGTTGCTCCCACCTACATATCGAGATGTGTGGATTGAATGGAGTGAAGCTGAGAAGAAGAAAACTGAAACAAGGCAGATAGAAAAGAATAAACCACGAGACCAATTTATTACCAAATTGTTACACACACTAAAACAGAAACCATCCACTTGTATTTCATCAACAGCAGAAGATCCAGAAGATTCCTGGGAGAATTTGATAACTGAGGACGACTTCAGAAGCTTATCTATTGCTAAGGAGAGGGAAGATAATTTGAACACTGCAAAGATTATTTTAAAAAACTTGCAATGTTCTGTCAAGTTTCAGAAACTTCTAAAGGAGAGGCAACTATTACCTGTCTTTCAACACAGAACACAAATTCTTGAAACTCTGAGAAGGCATCGAGTGGTGGTTGTTGCAGGTGAAACAGGCAGTGGGAAGAGCACACAAATACCTCAGTTCATTTTGGATGATTTACTATCAAGTGACACTACACAATGCAATATTATTTGTACCCAACCGCGAAGGATTTCAGCAGTGAGTCTGGCAACACGGGTTTGTGAAGAACTGGGTTGTGAAGAAGGTCCTGGGGGAAAGGTAAGATATAGCCTATTTCTGCGGTGAATTGGGTTTTTTTGGAAATAAAAATTCCTAGCCCTTGCCTGAGGAAGCATGCATTTTTTCATCCTAATTGAAAAATTAGGGCAAAAAAAAGCAAAAATTGAATAGACTCGGGCTATTTACCTTGGAGTGTCAGAGGTTTATAAAATCGTGAGGGCCATGGATAGAGTAAATAAGCAAGGTCTTTTCCCCAGGTTGGGGGAGGCCAAAATTCAAGGGCATAGGTTTAAGCTGAGAGGGGAAAGATATAAAAGGGATCTAAGGGACAACTGTTTCATGCAGAGGGTGGTGCGTGTACGGAATGAACTACCGAGGGAAGTGGTAGAGGCTGGTTCAAGTACAACATTTAAATGGCATCTGGATGGAATACGAATAGGAAGGGTTGAGTGGTATGTGGGCCAAACGGGACTTGATTTATTTAGGATATCTGTTCAGGATGGACGAGTTGGACTGAATGGTCTGTTTCTGTACTGTGTATCTCTATGACTCGAAATCAAAAGAGGTTAATATTAAGTGAGTAATTGAAAATAAAGTACGCAGCTTGTGTTATCAGCTAGTAACCTTTTATTTCAGATTTTCTCTTCGATATTAATATCAATGTTAAGAACTTGTTTATATAAGAAACACTATTCTTGTCCGAATCCATGTTTTGTGAACTTACGTAGATGAGGGCAGAAGATGTATCGTACATAAAAAGAGGAAATCTAGCAGCTTGGAACCATTGAGATTGGAGAAATGTGGGAATTCTGGTTGAGGTTAGATGGCATTGACTAAGGTACCAGATATGACCATGGTAAACTCAGCCCTGTCAACCCTGATGAGTCTTCCGTATCAACATCTGAGAGGCTAGTGCCTAAATTGGGAGTGTTGTCTCACAGACTAGTCCAGAAACAGCCTGACGGCCATGCTGTCGAAATCATACGTTGCACACAATGTTCCAGACAATACTATCATCATCAATGGGCATGTTCTGTCCCACCAGAAGGAGAGACCCATCAGAGGTGACAGCAGAGTGGTATACAATTGTGAGGGAGTTCCTTTGGAAGTCACCAACACTTACACGAGACACCATGAAGTCGCAAACCATTAGGTTAAACATAGGCAAGGAAATTTCCTGCTCATGCTCAAGAACTAACTGTCTTGGTTGATGAATCAGTACTCCTCCTTGTTGTACAGACTTCACTGTCCACCACCAAAATGACTCAGCAGTGCAACTGCTGACTGAACTAGTAAGTCTTAAAGGACATAGCTGCTAGACTGTCTCTGTGGTTGTTGGTGAGGGTACCACAAAAGCGAAAAACATACTTGACGTCGTCCTCTCCAGTCTGTCTGCCACAGATCCAAATGTCCATGACAGTACTGGTGAGAGTGACCACTGCACAGTCTGGTGGACACTAAGTCCCTCTCACATAGAGAATATCCTCCATCATATTGTTATCCAAGCTGAATGTAGTAGACTTTAAACAGATCTATCAACTTAATGCATCAACTGGCCATCCCGAGGCCCAATCTGCAATCTTGTGGCATGACTTATCCCCCTTCCTATCAATGATATCAAGTCAGGCGATCAATGCTGGTGCAATGAAAAGTGTAGGAGGGCATTACAAGAAACAGCACCAGGTATACCTAAAAGTTAAGCGTCAAACTAGTGAATCTACAAAACAGGACTTGTGTGCTAAACAGAATACTTGGACAGAGCTTGGTGATTTCAAAATAATTGGATCAGATTTATGCTCTGCACTCCTGTTGTGAATGATGGTAGACAATTAAACTGCTCTCTGGAGGACGAAGATCCACAAACATTTCAATCCCCAATGAAAGAGGAGGCCAGCACCTTAGTGCAAAAGATAAGACTGAGGCATATGCAGTGATCTTCAGCTGAAGTGCAGAAAGGATGATCCATATCTGCTCCTCCAGAGGTTGCCAACATCACCGATCTGAGTCTTTAGCCATTTTGCTTCACTCCACATGATATCAAGAAATTGGTGGAGACATTGATGCTGCAATGACCATGGGCCCTGACAAAGTAACTAAAAATGTGTGTGCTCCAGAACCTGCTGCTCCCCTATCCAAGTTGTTCCAGATACTGAAGCAGTCCATGTACAAATACAGCACGACTGAGACAATATCCAGGTTTGGGCTTGCAAATGGCAAGTGATGTTCATGTCACACAATTGCCAGGGATGGACCATCTCGACAAGAGAGAGAATGCACCCACTGCGCTTGGATATTCAGTGGCATTTCTATCTCGCCTCCCCATCACCACCACCGCCATCAAAATCCATTGACCAGAAATTAAACTGGACTTGCCACATAAATACTGTCACTACAAAAGCAGGCCAGAGGCTAAGAATCCTGCAATGATAAACTCAGCTGACTCCAAAGCTTGTCCACCAGCTACAAGGCACAAGTCAGGAGTGCAATGAAATATTCCCCAGTTGCCTGGATAAGTACAGCTCTAGCAACACTCAAGAAACTTGACACTATCAGTACAAAACCCATTTGATATACACTACATCCACGATCATTCACTCTCTCCAACACCAACATTCGATAGTACTATTGATCTACGTTCCCAAGATGCAAGCCTCCTTGGATAACACCTTCAAAACCATGACCCCTGCAAACTGGAAGGACAGACTCAGCAGATGCATGGTAATAGAACCACCTGCAAATTCCTCTCTCCAAGCTACTTGCCATTCTGAAATGGAAATACATCCCCATTCCTTCGGTGTCATTGGTTCAAGATTCTGCACTCCCTCTAAGTGTATTGTGGGTGTACCTACACCAAATAGATTACAGCGGTTTAAGGAGGCAGCTCACCACCACTAAATCAACAGCAACTAGGGATGAGCAATTAATGTTGGCTCACCCATCTGATGAATTAACAAAAAATTTTGCTCTTTTAAAAAAAATCCAATTACTTATAGAACTTTCTTTGCCTTTTGCTGTGAGCACCCTCACTGTCTGTTCCACTCCACTTTAGCCAACAGCATAAAAATCATCATTTTCCGGCCCCCTTTTCTCCTGAAGAAGAATCATTGAGCTCAAAATGTTAACTCTTTCGCTACATATTCTGTGAGAGTTGTGGAGTTTCTTGAGCACTTTGTTTTATTTTCGAATAGCTGGCATCCATTGTATTTTCCTTTTATGTAAGTGTTAAAGATCTTGGTTTACATTTTTCAATGATTTTTTTAATATGTAGATCATGGAATTGGAGAATTACCTTGACAGGATGTAGCTGAAATACCAAAAGGAGAGCTTAGTATGGGCTGCTTTGAATTTACAGGCAGATTTCTGACTTTTGTCTTGTAAGTTTTATCTGGGTTGATTGCTTCCTGCATAAGACTATCAACTGAATAAGAACAGTCATAGTCAACTTGAACATCTTGAAAGATGAATTTGTTGTTAGGATAAAAGCCAATTTATAATTTCTGGGTTGTGTTTTGATTCACTCGTATCTTGAACACTGTATTCTTAATAAGAAACATACTTTTGTAATTTGAGTTGATGTCTCCATTTGCAGAACTCTCTTTGTGGTTATCAAATCAGACTGGAATCAAAAATTGGAGAATTGTGTAAGCTTTTGTACTGCACTACTGGTGTTCTTCTGCGGAAACTGCAGCACGATGCATTTCTCACAACTGTGTCTCATGTCATTGTTGATGAGGTAAGACCTCGTTTTACTCCTGTCCAGTGCTACTCTACAATGATTGGAGCTGTTGCGGTATTATTTATTATTTTGTTATTCAGTATTAGAATTCTGAATTCTAAAGCGTACAACTAAGAGACAAGGTTTGGTACAGCACTGCAGCATGTGATGCTTCTTATCACTTAAACTACTGTAGACCTCAACTTGCCCAACTAATTAACTTTTCCAAATAAGGTTGGTGCTTTGATTTTGTACCTGTGGGAGATTAATTAATAATAAACAGGAATTCCCTTTAGACCCACTGATGTTTGGTTGTCCACTGTTGCAAAACATCGTAGTTAAAGCAGATGTGACAACTCTTAAATGAAAATTATTGACTTAACCAGTTTTTTAATACCCATTTCTTGATTGTTCCTTTATGTCTGTTACAGGTTCATGAGAGAAGTGTACAATCAGATTTTCTGTTAATCATATTGAAGGAGCTAATGCAAAAACGTTCAAATCTGAACCTAATTTTGATGAGTGCAACTGTGGACAGTGATAAATTTGCTCGGTACTTTGGACATTGTCCTGTTATCAATATCCCTGGGAGAATTTATCCAGTTCAGGTGAGGGCAAAAAAAGAAAAGCTAATGTTCTACTTTTTTATTGAGCACCTTTACAGTACTGGTCTACAATAATGTGACAAAGATGATCAGAATTTCAAATTCATTAGTCCACATGGGCAAGTGCTTCATTTAATTCATCAACAACCTCGTAATAGGAGACAGTGAAACTGCTTTACGTTGTTCATATTCAAATCATTGATATGAATATAGAAGGTATGGTTAGTAAATTTGGCACCAAAATGGCAGGTGTAATGGACAATGAAGAATGTTACCTCAGGGTGCAATGGGATTTTGATTAGATGGGCCAATGGCTGAAGAGTGGCGGATGGAGTTTAATTTAGATAAATGTGAGGTGCTGCATTTTGGAAAGGCTAATCAGGCCAGGACTTATACACTTAATGGTAAGGTCCTGGGGAGTGTTGTTGAACAAAGAGACATTGCAGTGCAGGTTCATAGTTCCTTGAAAGTAGAGTTGCAGGTAGATAGAATAGTGAAGAAGGCATTTGGTATGCTTGCCATTATTGGTCAGTGCATTGAATTTAGGATTTGGGGGTCATATTGCGGCTGTACAAGACATTGGCTAGGCCAGTATTGAAAAACTGCTTACAATTCTGGTCTCCCTGCTACCAGAAGGATGTTGTGAAACTTAAGTGTTCAGAGAAAGTTTACAAGGATGTTGCCAGAGTTGGAGGGTTTGAGCTAATAGGGAGAGGCTGAATAGACTGGGGTTTTCCCTGGACCATTTGGAGGTTGAGGAGTGACCTTTTATAAAATCATGAAGTGCATGAATGGTTAAATAGACAAGGTCTTTTTCCTGGGGTGGGGGAGTCCAAAACTAAAGGGCATAGGTTGAAGATGAGAGGGGAAAGATATAAAAGGAACCTAAGGGGCAACTTTTCCAGGCAGAGAGTCGTGAAGGTATAGAATGAGCCATCAGAGGAAGTTGTGGAGGCTGGTACAATTGCATCATTTAAAAGGCATCTGGATGGGTATATGAATAGGAAAGGTTTAGAGGGATATGGGCTAAGTGCTGGCAATTGGGACTAGATTTATATTGAATATCTGTTCAGCATGGACGAGTTGGACTGAAGGGTCTGTCTCTGTGCTTTATACTCTGTGACTATATAACTATATTTTCTCATGGCAAATTTACAAAAATGCATTGTAACCCATAGCCTGTGTTATGTAAAATTTTGCACTTGATAAACAGAACGGTATAGCACAGAAATTGACCCTATGGCCCATCAAGACTGCACTGACACATGATGCCTTTCAAAACTAAAAACCTTTTGCCTGTACACAGTCCATTATCCCTGTATTCCCTGCCTATTCTTACAAGGATCAAGGTGCCTCTCAACAGTCTGCCTCCACCACTTCTGGCAGCACATTCCAGGTACTTACCACTCTATGTAAATAATTTGCCTCTCACATTTCCTTTACTTTCTCCTTTTTACTTTAAACATATGTCCCCTAGTAATTGACATTTCTACGCTGGGAGAAAGATTCTGACTGTCCATTCTATCCGTGCCTCTCAATTTTGTAAACTTCTGCCTGCCTCTTTCTTCAACGTTCAAGTGAAAACAAAGTTTGTCCAATCTCTCCTCATAGCTAATACCCTCTAAATTAGGCAACATCCTCATAAACCGTTTCTGTAACATCTCAAAAGCCTCCACATCCTTCTGGTGGTCTGGCAATCAGCGTTGAACACTGTTCCAAATGTGACCTAACTGAATTCCTATACAGCTGCAACATGACATGCCAATTTTTATACTCTACACCCTGACTGATGAAGGCAGGCATGCCATATGCCTTCTTGATCACCTTATCCACTTGTGTTGCCACTTTCAGGGAACTGTGAACCTGTATGTCTAGATCCCTCTATGTTGATACTACTGTTTTCTGCCATTTACTGTATACTTCCCTGCTGCATTAGATCTCCCAAAATGCATCACTTCTTCACATTTAACTGGATTTAACTCCATCTGCCATTTCTCCATCCAAGTTTCCAGCCTATCTATATCATCCTCATAGCCTCTGGCAATACTCCTCACTATCTACAGCTCTCCAATCTTTATGTTGTCTAATCCTGCAGAAGACCACTTGTCACAGTCTGAAAAATGCCCTTCACTGCTACTCTCTGTCTTCAATGACTAAACAAGTCACTCACCATGGGTTCCATGTGACTTCACCCTGCCATGAGGGACCTTGTCAAAGGCCTTGCTAAATTTTATATCAATGACATCTACCACCCTGCCCTCATCAATCAAGCTTTTGAGACATGACCTTCCTTGCACAAATGCAGATATTGCTAATAAGTCCATATTTTTCCAAATGTGAGTAAACCTATCCCAATGAATCTTCTCCAATAATTTCCCTACCACTGAGATAAAGCTCACTGGCCTGCAATTTCTCAGATTATCCCTGTTGCCCTTCTTAAACAAAGTAATAGCGTTGGCTATTCTCCATTCCTCTGGGACCTCTGTGACTAAAGAGGATACAAAGATTTTGTACACGGTCCCAGCAATTTCCTCACTTGCCTCTCTCAGCATTTTCTGATAGAGCTCATCAAGTCCTGGGGACTTATCTACCTTAGGTTTTTTTTTTTAAAAGCATTAACACCTTTTTTCATATTGACATTACCTAGAATATCAATATATCCCTCCCAAAACTCACCATCTACCGTGTCCTCCTTTGTGAATACTGATGCAGAGTATTTGTGAAGGACTTTACACACTTCCTGTGGCTTGATGCATAAATTACCTCCTTTGTGCTTGACCTACCTTTTCCTTCAATACCGTCTTGTTGCTTATATGTATAACATGCCTGGGATTTTCCTTAATCCTGTTTGCCAAAGACGTTTAAGGCCCCTTTCAAGCCCTCCTAACTCATGTTGAGTTCTTTCCTGCTATCTTTGTGTGCTTCAAGGTTCTGTCTGTCTTCAGGTTCCAAAACCTTTTGTATGTCTCCTTTTTCTTTATGAGTAAGCTCTCAATTTCTCTTGTCATCCAAGGTTCCTGAATCTTGCCATTCTTATCTATTATTTTCAGTGGAATATGCTGGTCCTGATCTCTAATCAACTGGCTTTTAAAAGATTTCCACTTGATAGTTGTGGATTTACCCTCAAACAGCCATCCCAATTTATATTCCCCAGTTTCTGTCTAATATTGTGGTAGTTAGCCTTCCCCCAGGTTAATACTTTCACCCAAAGACTGCTCTTTTCCTTATCCATAAGTAACTTAAAACTAAAGATTTGTATTCACTATTCCTGAAATTCTCCCCCACTGAAACTTCGATCACCTGGCCAGACCTTTTCTCCAAGCAAAGGATGTACAGATCAAAAAGACTTAGAGGCACACAGGTTACATTGCAGGTTACATTATTTGAGGCAAGAGCCCACTCGACAGTCTAACAGCTGGAAAGAAACTGTTCCTGAACCTGCTTTTGAGTGTACTCAGGTTACTGTATCTTCTGCCTGACGGAGGAGGTTATAGGAGGTCATTACCAGGGTGTGATGGGTCTTTGATGTCCGCTGCCTTTCTGCAGCAGCAAGCAGTGTAAGTGGAGTCCGTGGATGGAAGGTTGGTTTCCTTGATGGTCTGGACTGTGCATATCACCTGTAGTTTCTTAGGCTCCCAGGCAGAGCAGTTACCATACCAGGCCGTCATGCACCCTGACAATATGCTTTCAATGGTGCATCTGTAGAAATTGGTGGGGAACCTTATGGACATGCCAGATCTCCTGAGCCGCCTGAGGAATAAGAAGTGATTGTTGTGCTTTCTTGACTGTTGCATCTACATGGGAAGTCCAGGACACGTCATTGAAAATCATCACTCCGAGGAATTTGATGCTGTTCGCTCTCTCAACGTTGGTTCCGTTAATGTAGATGGGGGTGTGTTCTCTTCCTTTCTTTCTGAAGTCAATGATCAGTTCTTTAGTTTTGCAAATGTTGAGAGACATTGTTTTCATTGCAGCATGTCACCAAGCCCTCTATCTCCCTTCTGTATTTTGACTCGTCTTTGTTAAATATCCGTCCCACTAAGGTGGTGTTGTCAGTGAATTTGTAGATGCTGTTCGTTCGGAATTTGGCAACACAGTCGTGGGACGGAGTACAGTAGAGGGCTGAGGACATCCTTGGGGGGCTCCAGTATTGAGTGTTATCATGGAGGGGTTGCAGTTACCAATCCTCGCTGATCGTGGCCTGTGGGTCAGAAAGCTGAGGATCCAGTTGCGGAGGGTGAAGATCAAGGGTTATGGGAAGGCGGTAGGAGAAAGAGGTTGAGAAACATATCAGCCATGATTGAATGGCACATCACAGTCAGTGCCCAAATGGCCTAATTTTGCTCCCCTATCTTATTCTTCATGGTACTGAAGTTCATTTTTATACATCATGTAGTGGTATGCATCTTTGAGAAGGAGAGCGTAATTAAATCAGCATGAAAGGAATATTGCTCTGGTATGCAAAATCTTACCTCAGTCATAGCTATAATGTTTTAAAATTACTCTATCACTGGATGTGTGCTTCACTGGCTTGGTCAGTATTTATCGTCCGTTCCTAATTGTTTTTAAGAAGGTGGTGATGAGTTGCCTTCTTAACGTACTATAGGATGCGCAGTGCTGCTAGGAAGAGTGTTCCAGGACTTTGCACACAGCAGACTTGTGAGGAAGGTTATAGGTCCTGGAATAAAAGGGACTGTAGGGACATGGAGTATAAGTGGCTTTTTAAAAAATTTTATTCATACAAGGGATGAGGGCGTTGCTAGCGAGGCAGCATTTATTGCCCATCTCTAATTGCCCAGAGGGCAGCTAAGAGTCAATCACATTGCTTTGGGTCTGGAGTTGCATGTAGACCAGACCAGGTAAGGATGGCAGTTTCCTTCCCTAAAGGACATTAGTGAACCAAATGGGTTTTTCCTGACAATTGGCAATGGATTCACAGTTATCATTAGATCCTTAATTCCAGATACTTATTGAGTTCAAATTCCACCATCTGCCGTGGTGGGATTTGAACCCAGGTTCCCTGGGTCTCTGGATTAACAGTCCAGTGATAATGTCACTAGGCCATCACCTCACACTCTCGGCTGAGTGAGAGAGTAGGAACCCGGAGCTTGGAGCTACACCTGTAGCTAATGCTGCTGATTGAGGCCTTAGAGCTTGGGCCCTCTCTTCGTGCTGCTGCCTGAGGGGTCTGGGGTCTGGAGCCTTTCCTTTCTGTTTACTTCACACTTTAAACTGTTGAGGTCTTTGACCCCTAACCTGAGAGTGTTTGGGGCTGGTGTTGAGGGAATTTTACTTACCATTCACTTTCTATCTAAAAAGTAGAGAGCGGTAATCAATGGATATTTTTCAGGCTGGAGGGAGGTTTATAGTGAAGTTTCCAAGGGTCAATATTGGGACTCTTGATTTTCATGATAAATATAAAAATATATGATCTGGACCTTGGTATAGACCTTCTTGATCTAAGAAATAGGAGCAGAAATAGGCCGATTGTTTGCTTGAGACCCCTTTTCCCCGTAACTCTTGATTCCTCTACTGATCAAGAATCTATCTATCTCCGCCTCAAATATAGACAATACATGGGCTCCACAGCTCTCTATGGCAAGGGCTTCCCAAGACTCCCAACTGCCTGAGAGAAGAAATTCCTTCTTATTTCAATCTTAATCATATACTCTCCTATAAGCAGAAACATCCTCTCAGCATTTACCCTGTCAAGCACCTTAACAATCCTCTATGTTTCAATAAAATTCCCTGTCATTCTTCTAAATTCCAGAGAGGAGAGTGCCAACTTGTTTACCTTTTGCTCACGAGTCAATCCCTCCATACCGGGGATCATCCTAGTAAACCTTCTTTGAACTGCCTCCAATGAAATTGATTCTTTCCTTTAAATAAAGGAACCAAGTTCCCCTTGTGTTGCAGCTTTCTGGAGTATTTCTCCCTTCTTTGTTCTTTTTCTTTTCCCTTCCAAAACAAGCAACTTCACGTTTTCCCACATTCTACTTCATTTGCCAATTTTTTGCCCACTTTCTTAACCTATCAACATCTCTCTGTAAAATTATTTGTATCCCCTTTGCAATTTACCTTTACACCTATTTTTGTGTCATTTGCAAATTTGGAAATTCCTTCTAAGACATTAATACGTATTGTGTATTGTTACGGCCATAGCACTCATAGCTGTGGAACTGCACTGGTTGCAGGTTGCCAACCTGAAAAAGAACTCCTCATCCACCCTTGATGTTTCCTGCCCATTAGCCACTTTTCTATCATGCCAAAGTACTACCTTCAACACTGTGAGATTCTTAATAAAAACCAGAAGAACTGCGGATGCTGTAAATTAGGAACAAAAACAAAGTTGCTGGAAAAGCTCAGCAGGTCTGGCAGCATCTGTGGAGGAGAAAACAGAGTTAACATTTCGGGTCCAGTGACCCTTTCTCAGAACCATGAGATTCTTATAACCTAACCTTTTGTGAGGTACATTGATGAACGCTTTGTGAAAATTCAAATACAACACCATATGAATGGTTTCCCTCTATCCACCTTGGTTGAAGCTTCCACGAAAATCTCTGATAAATTAGTCAGATACGATTTGCCTTTCATGAAGCCATATTGACTCTGCTGTATTAGATTATAATTTTCCAAATGTGCTGCTATTACTTCGTTAATAATTGATTCCAATAATTTTCCTACAATAGGTATTAGGCTGATCAACCTGTAGTTCCCTGCTATTCACTCCCTTTTTGAATAGGGGTGTCACATTGACAGTTTTCCAATCCTGCAGTACTTCTCCATAATCCAAGGATTTTTGGAAAGTTATATCCAACACATTCACTATCTCTGTAGCTACTTTTTTTTTTAGGAACCTTGGATGCAAGTCATCATGCCAGGAGATTTATCTGCCTTTATCCCCATTAGTTATTTTTCACCAGTCTTTAAGGTGGAAGATACCTTGAACATCTCATGAAAGAATGAGGGTGGAATCAAGTATCATCACCATCACTAGAGAAATTGTATTAGACGAACTAGTCTATCCATTGTATAATTCTAATGACCCTCACTCTGGCATTTATATCAGGTCAATTTTAAACTGAACTATTAACCTTACTTCAATATTGAAGAAATAGTCATGGTTCACCCTATTTCATCCAATTCCGGGTGATATTTTCTGAACTGTTGTAAATATTGGTTACGTTTTGTTTCATGATGTAGGTCAACTGTGTGTCTTTCAAATTCTATCTCTTAATTACATACAGGTTTATCATTTGGAAGAGGTGGTGGAAGAAACTGGCTACGTTTTGGAAAAGGACTCTGAATACTGCCAACGACTTTTGGAGGAGGAAGAAGAAATTAATGTGACAGTCACTGGCAAAGGAGGAAAAACCTTCCAGCATCAGGTTGTTCCTAAGTGTATACAGTATTCATTATCAATCTCATTATCAGTTAAAGTAGCATTCTCACCTTTTCTAATCATAGATGTGCTGAACAGATCATGTGGTTGTCAGTTGTTTTCATACCAGTGACATGATCATTGGTGAAATTTGAGAAATGTGCTGAGTTGCACAGCTTGATAACGAACTTCCAGCTGAATTTGGGCAACTTCAGTTTCAGTCAAGCAATCTCCTTCACATTATTGTGATTGGGAAGTTTTCTTCTGTTTCCTTCATCTTGACTGTGTCAATGTTGAGACAAAACATATGATTTTGTTTTAATTCATATAATTAACATGGATTTCTATTTAGAGTGAATAGTTTGAGACATTTCTCGTCTTTAAGTATTCATTCAAAATTTTAGTCCTTATTCAGGTTAACTAATAATCAACTGTTGATCTTCATGGAGGCCTTAGCTTAACGATATTATTGCTGGACTGTTAATCCAGAGACCCAGATAATGCTCAGGGGACCCAAGTTCAAATGCTGCCGTAGCAAAATTTGAATTCAGTTTTTTAAAGAAAAGTCTGGAATTATGAGTCTAATGATGACCGTTGTTGGTTGATTGTCAGAAAAACCCATCTGGTTCAGGAATGTCTTTCAGGGAGGGAAACTGCCATCCTTACCAGTTTGGCCTACATGTCATTCTGGACCCACAGCAATGTGGTTGACTCTGAACTGCCCTCTGAGCAATTAGGATTGGACAATAAATGCTGGCCAAGCCAGTAATGCCCACATTCCATGAATGAATAAAAATGAAAATGGGGGAGAAAAAGATTAGTCATGCTTTTGAGGTGGAGGAAAGTAATCGGCGTTCCTTGGTTGACATTAAGGTGACATGCCTGGTCGTAGAAGTTAAAACCGGTTAATAAAGCTAGATCTTACAATTTCTTCAAAGAAATTCTTATTATTCCAGAGTGCTATTAGCCAATCAGTTTCACTTCCCAGTGGGACTGATGAAACGTTTTGCTCGGGTGAAATTCTCTCATTTAGTTAAGACGTGGCTTTGAGCAGTGTGGTTTGAACTGAATGACTAAAGGGTAAGCTTTTGATTCTGTTGAAAACAGAGCCAAAAAATTCAATTAAATTAAACCACATTACTGATAGTGTAAACATCTCAAATAGAAGTGACTTACTCCAAGTTAGTAAATCGAGCTGGAAAGCCATTAGTGAGTACATGTGATTTTGAAAGCTTACAATATCTGAAGCAACTCAGGTTTGAAGGTTATGACTTTTGAAGTCTCTTGTTTTCTGTTCAAAGGGCAGATTTTCCCTAATTGATCACTATTCATATTTTTTTTCAGGAATATCTTGTTAAAGGGGCAAGGCCTGAGAATAATTTGGTACTTGACCTTGACAAATACAGTAGTCGTACTTGTCATGCTATTCAGTACATGCATCCAACTAAAATAAACATGGATCTCATCTTAGATCTCATTAACTTCTTGGGTAAGTGGAAAAGAAAATTTCTGTAGCGAGCCAATTAAAATTCTACCCACACAAAGAGCTTATCATTTCTTTTTACAGTACTTAATAAAAAAAAGTGTGTATTTTCCAACATTTATTTTTATTTGTATTTTTATTTTTCTTTAATTGCAGAGTTCTAATTTCCAAAATGGTAGCTTACTGAAAATCAAGCACTTTTAATTTTTCAAATGGAGTACACGTTTTTAAAATAGCTTATTTAATGTTATAGTAACGTCTGAAGCACTTTAATTGTAACCGTTTAAATTATTCCTGGAATCATAGAATGTTTATGGCACAGGGGAAGGCCATTTGGACTATTGTGTTTGCTCTTCGAAGTAGCAATTAATCTATTGCCAATGCCCTCACCTCTCCCTAGCCCACACTTACTACTTTGACAGATAATAACCCAATTCTGTGTAAGAGAAGTAATTAATGTGTTTGAACATCACAAATCTCTTGAATGCAACCCTACAGTATGTATACTAGATTAAAAAAAACTACGTATGCTGGAAATCAGAAGCAAAATCAAAAAAACACAGCAGGTCTGGTAGCGTCTGTGGAGAGCAAATAGTTACTGGTCTGGTAACCAGTTTGAAGAACTGATTGTAGTTAGGGAAAGGTTGGTATGTATGCAAGGGAAAGGATGGAGGAGGGATGAAGGAATAGACGATATCTGGAGATGGAGCCCACAGAGAGAGAAACACAATTGGGCAGACAAAGGAATGGGTAAAGGTCAGCCTGAGCCGTTAGCGGCTAAAATTGGGTTGTTTGTGATAGCAACCGATGTGATAGCAAGGTCTGGTGTGTGGGGGTTGGGATAAGGATATGGGAGAAGGTGCTCAGGCCCTAAAATTATTGAACACTATTTGAGTCCAGATGGTTGCAGGATTCCCTTGTGGACAATGAGGTGTTGATCTTCCAGCTTCTGCTGAGCTTTGCTTGAGCACTGACGCAAGACCAAGACACAGATGTTGGCCAGGGGATATGGTGTGTGTTGAAATGCAGGCAACCAGAAGCTCAGGGTCATGTTTGCGGACAGAACGTAGGTGTTCTTTAAAGCAGTCATCCAGTCTGTGCTTTGTCTCCCCAGTGTATAGGAAACCATATTGTGAGCGGCAAATACAGATTGAGTAAAGTGCAGGTAAATTGCAGCTTCAGCTAGAAGGTTTGTCTGACACCTTGAATGGTGAGGAGGGAGGGAGTCAATGGGCATGTGTTACACCTGTGATTGCCGTCAGGGTGTGGGGGTGGGGAGGGGAGGGGTATGTTGCGAGTGGAGGAAGAGTGGACGAAGATGTCCCAGAGGGAACAGTCCCTTCAAAAGGCTTACAAGGGAGGGGAGGGGAGGGGAATGTGTGCCTGGGGGTAGCATCCCATTGGAGGTGGCAGAAATGGCAGCTAATGATCATTCAGATGTGGATGCTGGTGGGGTGGTAGGTGAGTATGAGGGACACCCTATCACTGTTGTGGGAGGGAAGAGAGGGAGTGAGGGCTGAAGTGCAGGAGATGGGTTGGACATGGCTGAGGATTCTGTCAAACATGGTGGTGGGGAAACCTCAGTTGAGGAAGAAGGTGGACACGTTGGAGGCCCTGTTGTCAAAGTTGGCATCATTGGAACAGATGCGACAGAGTAACTGGGAGAATTTACTTCAGTGCGTATATTGTGAGCTGGTAATTAGGTGCAAACAACATATACAGATCCACATGGAATGCATGGTTTAAAAAAAGTTCTATCCACTTGTCATGATTGACTTTTTGAGGAGACTGAAATATGTGCTGAGAGCCGAATTGTGGTACTGAAGTATTTTTGCTTAATTGCCGGTTGGACTTTGGTTATTGTTGAGACCATCAGTATTTTTCTTTTCTTTTTGGCATTTTTGGTTTGGAACTGAGAGTTACAGTTGAGAATTGAACTCCAAACTTTGAGCAGCAGTTTGTTTTTGAAGAAAAGAACAAAAGGCTGATATTTGCTGTTGGGAATTGGTCTCTATATAACGCAGGTTGTTCTGCTGTAAGAACACCAGAGATGAACTAGCACTGAGATGTCGTTGTACTCAGGCTGGCTGGTGGGTGGATGTTGCTGTGACCAAAGGAGGCCAGTGTTGGCCAGCTAACCACAGAGAATGTTGACAAGAAAAAAGCTGACCAAAGGGTGAACTGGCTTTGACTGGGCTTTTGGACAGGAAGCAGTGCTGCTTTGGAAGCTGCAGGACTGGGTTGAGAAAAGCACCTGAATCTTTAAGAAATCAGGAAAAGTCCCAGAGTTCTCTGGAAGCTGTGGAAGTAATTTTGAGGGTCATCAAATGTTTTAATTTCACTGTGTTGCAAATCAAGTATTAGCAAGTCTGATTTCGTCTGGTTTGCTATCCCTGTGTTGTAACATAATAACAATATATTAGTGTATGAAAATGGAGAAATAAGAGCCAAGTGGTCCATCTTGCCTATCAGTAAGTGTCAGTGTAGCAGAGTTTTGGAAATGTTGAGGTTTGAGCAAGTTGGGAAGAAAAGCATTTGGAGTCATCAAGTTGGAAGTGACGAAGGCATGTATCAGTAACAGAAGTTAATTCATGAGTAAATGATACAGAGGTGGAATCAAATTAGTGAGGGATAGAAGTTTAAGTTCATTTCAGGGTTGAATGACATGTCCTGGTTTAATTCAGTCTGAGACAGCTACTGAATGGAAGGAAAAGCTGTGCTGGTAATGATGAAGGTAGAAGAAAATGGGTGTTGACCAGGAAGTTTGACTTTCATAACATCCTGTTTTGGTTGAGCAATCTGACATATTGGGATGATTCACAGAAGTGATGGAAAACTGTACTTGGCAAATTGTCAGTGCAGGCAAGTGGTCAGCTTTCACATGCAGATTGTCGTATTGAGAAACACACTTTAGCGGGGTGAGTGGGCAGTCTGTTCGGATGTTGGAAGTGACAGCAGGGAAGAAAAATTGGTATGCATTTTCTGAAGAAGGGTCCTGACCTGAAACGTAAACTTTCCTGCTCCTCTGATGCTGCCTGGCCTGCTGTGTTCCTCCACCTCCACACTGTTATCTCTGACTCCAGCATCTGCAGTTCTTGCTATCTCTGATGCATGTCTCATTGTTGGCCAGAAGTGACATTTCATTTCCTTTCAGATAAAAGTGCACCGTTCAGAGCAGTTGATGGTGCAGTGTTAGTTTTCTTACCGGGTCTGGCTCATATTCAACAACTGTATGATCTTCTAACTACAGACAAAAGGTTCCAGGACAGAAAAAGGTACAATTTGTGCTGAAATTATGGCTATTTGAGCTTAATTTTGAATAATACAAACCAGTCTCTACACAGGATACCTTATGAAGTATTGCTTATTTCCAGTTTCCAGAATTTTGCTACCATATTTCAGGCTTGCTCCATGAGCTTTTTAACATTCAGCTATTTAACCCAAAACTGGTTGCATGAAGAAGAGTTGGTTTGGAATGTGTATCCAAAACATCTAGGTGGCCTACACATCACCAGCCACGCATAAGGCCTCTGTTGCACTTAAACCTGAAATGGCAAATGCGTGGATAAAAGTTTCAGCTGTTATTGTTGGAGGGTGGAAATGTTATGAAGGTGATACAAGCTGCCTTCCAGTAAAGATTGTTTGGGGATTGAAGATGAGTAATCCAAAAACCAGGAACAATCCATTTGGTTAATGGAAGATAAATGTCCCCATAGCAAGGGCATATGAACAAGAACTATGCAATTGTGTAGACATAAACCCTTTTTTAATATCAAGCAAAATTTCTCAACATTCTAAACTGCATGCTTTCCCTGTTCAATGTTTACAATAATACAACTGATCTATATTGCTCCCAAGAAGATTACGGAAGTGTTATGGCATTTAGTATCTTTGTATATCAGAGCCTTTTATATCCAGTAGAACAGTCTAAATTTGCACATAATTACATACAACAGAACATAAAAGCTGAATCAGCAGATAGGCTTTCCTTTGGTTTTGAAGGTATGTTGGTCAAGGCATGGGGACAATTCTCTGTTCTGCAAACAGTGCAATGAGAGTGCAGTGTCCACCTAAACAGATCACTGTTTCGGTTTTAATGTGTCAGCTGAAAGACCCTATGTAATACAATGAAATCCTAACAGTGTATTGAAGTAATGGCCTAAATTAGGTATTCAAGGATTGAGCATTCAACTTTCTGGCTTTCAGGAGAGTGCAAATTCTCAAATATATTTTTATCAGGCTTGTTTCTGGATCAAAATCTTGAAAAAATCTCGGATGGATCTAAACCACAGATGAAATGGAAAGAGTGCGCAGGAGCATGGATGCAGGCTCCCATGACTACTGCCCGCAGCAAACTGTGCAGTTGTCCCATCAGAATTATGGATCAAACATCCAAGCAGGAATAATTGTGGGTGTGACGGAGAGGCATACAGGGATGCAACATTCTGCCCATAATAGGTAGAAGGCAGCACAAAAACTCGATTGTCCATTTGAGTGGCATCTCAACTGTTACAAATTTAAACTCCTATCTGGCTTCTCCATTAAGTACTGATGTTGACCTGAGCACCACATTAGTTAACTCAGCTGTTCTTTGTGAGCTGGATGATTCTGCCTGCCTGCCTTCAGCAAATACAAGTGACGTGTAGGAATTATGGGGAAATACCAGGCCATTGGAAGCTAATTTTCTGGAAAATTATGTAGGTTATGACCCATGTTACCCATCAATAAAGAAAAGGCTTTCACAAGCTTGCAGGATTACATTATTCCATGGTTATATTTGTTACTGACACCACCACTAGGCAGAACACAGTGCAAATACACAAAATTGGGGCTTTTAAACTCATCTCCAGCAACAACAAGCCGTATATTATAAGTAAATGTAAACAAACAGGTCATAATGGCCAAGGAAATTAAGGTACATTTGGAGAAGCTCTTGACAGTAGTCTTCAATATGCTGATAGTTTGGAATTATATGTAGATCTTTTTACATCTATTTCAATAGACCCTACGTACTTTACCGTCATTTGCTCATCTCTGATCATCCTTAAGAGGCCGTCCCTTTTTCCTGCACGTACATAACAGCACTCAGCACTTTCCTTCTAAGTATCTGACAAAAGATTGTTTGTTTATATTTGGCTAAAATATATCTGACTGTCAATAATTGCTTATGAAATACATCGAAGACCATCACCTTTTTAGGGATAATGGCCTTAAGGTACAGCAAAGACAACTTGTGGTTTGCACTTTTTATAAAAGTGCATCAAGAGCTATATGGGCTTGATACTTTAGGCTGCATTTCACAACTGGCATGATTTTGTGGGTGCAACTGCATATGCATAGATGGAGCATGATGGCCATATTTAATAGCATCACGTTATCACTTGCACTGGGAACAAGTGCTGTGTTATTCCAAGTAGGCTGATTTCATATTTACATGAGCCTTGAGGTGTACTTCCCCATGACGCAGGAAAACTCGATGATCCTTTTAAAATTGCTTCTAAAAATATCAGTTAATTCAATGTGCGTAATGTGTAATGGATGTGTTGGTGTCTTTATTAGAATATATATGTACTCGATCAATCTTGATCACATTAAATGGTGGGACAGACTTGATGGGCTGAATGGCCTATTGCGTATACATTCTGTCTTTATGCCCACAGTTGAAAAGTGTTTCACGGCAATTTTAAGTACTTGAATATTATTGCTGTTTTAAAGTTTTTTTAATATGGTGATCAGTTTGCGTACAGTGACCGGATTCAATCAATTTTGCCAATAAAAGGATGGTGAGATATTTATTAGCCAGCAGAGTGAAGAAATTTCTCTTTGCATAGAGCCATGGAATCTATTATTTCCTTTCCAAGGGGAAGATGGGGCTTCCAACAGTGTAGCACTCCCTCAATGGTATATTGGAGTTCAGCCTAGATGATACCCTTGGTCCATTGGAATGGAAAATAAATTCACAGCCATTTGATTGGCAAGGGAGCTGTCACTGTGCCCGAGTGTTTTTCTCTTTGTCATTGTGTCCAACGTTGGATCTAAAATTTTAATTTCTTTAATAGCTCACCAACATTCGTTGTATCTGCTTTTAATCCAAGTTTTCTATGTTTCCCTATGCTAAGTCTGTTTGATTTATTGTGTTCTCCTTTAAGTGTTTCAATGTATATTCGCCTCTGAGCATTACTTTCTCAACTTCTTAGATGACACCCTGTGTTCAGTTTCTAGATTAGTTTTTTGACAAATTACTGGGTGTTCCTCTTCCTTAAGTTTATGTAAGCTCTTAATGCTTTATTCAGTTTTTTGATTTGCTGGGGTCACAGGATTGAAAGTATGTTTATTGGTGGGGGAAGTGTGATGTTATATTTTTAGAAAAGGCTAGAATACATGTTACATTGTATTACATGGGGTAAATTATGTCTGTGAAATAAATACACTATAGTATTTCAAGAAAGTTGAGAATTTAATACCCAAGCCGCATCGTCCTTGAGAAGGTGGTATTGAGCAGTTTTTCTTCTAATTCTTTCCTAGCTGTGTGGGCCTGTCAGGCTGTGCGCAGTAGCCACTTCTGAAGCCAGAAGTCATTGCCATGATCGGTGTGCTGATGCTGTCATCATGTATGGAACATTAGAGCAACAGAGGGAAAGTTGGTGTTGAGTCATCACCTTGAACAGCTGTAGTCCATGTGATTTCATACGCCCACTGTTAGGTAGGGAGTTAGGACTTCTGTCCAGTGACACTGAAGGAACAGCAATATATGTTTCTAAGTCAGGATAATGTATGATTGGCATTTTAGATGGTTAGTTCCCTCACACCTACTGACATTGTTCTTTCATTGATAGAGGTTGCATCCTTTTTAAAATGTGTGTCGCTAGCTGGGGCAGCATTTATTGCTCATCCTTCGTTGTCCTTGAGAAGGTGCATGTTGTGTGAATATACATGTGACAAGCTGCCTTCTTCAGCCACTACTGTCTATTTCATTTGAGTGGTGCTTTAGAGTAAGATGTCTTGGCATATTAATACGGTGCACCTGGTAGATGCCACATACTGAAGCCATGGTGCACCAATAGTGGAGCGAATGAATGGCTAATGGAGATGTCAGTCAAGCATGCTACTTTGTCTTGTATAGTGATGAAGCATGTTGCAACCAGACAGGTGGAAAGTATTCTCTCTCATTCCTGATTTGCACCTTTTAGGTGGAGGAAAAAGTTTGGTGGGACTCGGGAAGTAAATTGCTGTATATAGCATACCCAGCCTCTGATTTGTACCTCTAGGCCAAGTATTTATGTGCCCAGTACAGTGAAGTGTCCACTCAGTGTTGACGCCCAGGATGTTGATGACGGGGAAATTCAGTAATGGCAATGTCATTGAATGGTAAGAAGAGATGGTTAGTGTCTGTCTTGTTGATAATGGTCATTTCCTGGCACTTGTGTGGCTCAAATGGTAATTCCCACTTAGCAAGTTGCTATCCAGATTTTGATTTGATTTATTATTGCCACATGTACTGAAATACAGTGAAAAATATTGTTTTGTGTGCTATTCAGGCAAATCATACCTTACATAAGTACATCAGGGTAATAGAACAGAATATAGAATGAAGAGCTACAGCTGCAGAGAAAGATCAGCTCTAATCTATGAGAGGTCGGTTCATAAATCTGACAACAATGGGGAGGAAGTTGTTCTTGAATCTGTTGGTACATGTTTTCAACTTCTGTGTCTTCTGCCTGATGGAGGAGGCTAGCTAGGGCAGAGCGGGAGGAGTCTTTGATTATATTCGCTGCTTTCCCAAAGCAGTGGGAAGTATAGATGGAGTCAGTAGAAGGAAAACTGGTTTTCGTGATAAACTGGGCTGTGTTTACAACGCTCTGTCATTTTTTGTGGCCTTGGGAAGAGCAGTTGCCGTACCAAATTGTAATGCATCAGTTTAGAATGCTTTCTGTGGTGCATCTATAAAAATTTCCTTAGCTTTCTGAGGAAGTAGAGGCATTGGTGTGCTTTTTTGACAATAGCATTGACGTGGATGGACCAGGACAGATGATTGGTAATAGTTACTCCCAGGAACTTGAAGCTGTTGACCATCTCCACCTTAGCGACATTGGTACAGACAGGGATGTGTCCTCCACTCTTCCTGAAGTCGATGACCAGCTCTTTGTTTTGTTGACATTGAGTGAGTAAAGACAACAATGTCACTAAGCTCTCTATCTCTTTCCTGTACTCTGTTTTGTCATTATTTGAGATCCAATCCACTATGGTTGTGTCATCAACAAACTTGTAAGTGGAGTTGAGGTGCAGTTTGGCCACACAGTCATGAGTGTATAAGGAGTACAGTAAGGGACTGACTCCGCAGCTTTGTTGGTGCTAGTGTTGAGGATTATTGTGGAGGTGGTGTTGTCATGTATCCTTACTGATTGTGGTCTGTAGGTCAGGAAGTTGAGGATCCAGTTGCAGAGAGGAGAGCAGAATCATGGGTCTTGGAGTTTGTGAGCATGAGAATTTGACAACCCAATAAAATAGTAGTCTGAGGAAGGGTCAGCGGACCCGAAACGTTAACTTTTTTCCTTCACAGATGCTGCCAGACCTGCTGAGCTTTTCCAGCAACTTTGTTTTTTGTTGCTAATTTACAGCATCCACAGTCCTTTTGGTTTTTATTTAAAATAGTCAGATTTTCTTTTGAAATGACATTTCTATAAAGTCTACTTTTTATTTTTCTGAATCTATAGGTACAAAGTAATTGCTTTGCACTCCATTCTTTCATCTCAAGATCAAGCTGCAGCTTTCACAGTCCCACCACAAGGGGTCAGAAAGGTAAGAATTGTTTTAATCACATCCTTCTTGATGCTTTATGAGGATAACAGAGCCCCAGTTTCTTCAGTTTTCATTACTGAAGTCACAGCATCAAATAATAACAGTATATGGAGAAATCAATGATTGGTAGTCAGTGTAAATGTACTGTTTGTAGAGTTGTAGAATACTTAGACACGTTTGGTCTGTCTCAAAAGCTCCTCGGCAAGTTTGTTCTCTTGTCTTTGCCGCCATCATCAAAGGCAACTCCCCGCACCCCCCCCCCCCTGAAAAATACCCAATTCATTTTAAAAGCTACAATTGTATCTTTCCACCACCTTGTTACTTGTAGTTTTTGCTCCCAGCCTCTGACCTGGTTTGTAGCCACTTGTTTCCTTTAGTTTACCCTTAGTTTGTGCCTTTACTTTCAGATTGTTCTGGCGACAAACATTGCAGAAACGGGCATCACAATACCTGATGTCGTTTTTGTCATTGATTCTGGAAAGACTAAGGAGAACAGGTTTGTTCACAACCAATTATTTTAGAAACATTCACTTTATGCGTGCAATAAGTTATAACTGACTTTCAGATTTTATAGTTCAAAGCAAATTGTGAAATATGCTTAAAGCTGTTTTACTGTCAGTATTTTTAATTTTTAATTTAGGTTATGTTAAGGCTCAAGTATCTGTTCTGCAATACATAATGGATGCAACTGAATAACATCAGTATTAAATTATCCACGTAAGAGTATTTTTTATACTTTGAAATAAATTTTAAAGTAAGTATGCATAAATGTGCATGTATATTTTAATGTTTGTAGGTATCATGAAAGTAGCCAAATGAGCTCACTTGTGGAGACCTTCATCAGCAAAGCCAATGCTCTTCAGAGGCAGGGTCGAGCTGGCCGTATCAGAGAGGGGTTCTGTTTTCGTTTATATACCCAAGAAAGGTGAATACTCAAAAGTCTGTGACATTAATTAATTTTTTCAAGTACAATAAGGTGTTCTTGTGGTGCAGTGGTAGTAACCCTACCTTTGGGCCAGGGAGCCCAGGCTCAAGTCCTATCTGCTTCAGAGGTGTGCAATAATATTCCTGAACAGGTTAATTAGAAAATATCTCCAACTTTAACAACATAGCATATCTTGCATTGCATTTCTGCTGGGGAAAGTAGAGAACTAAGGGGATGAGCGGAGCATAGGAATGGAGTATTTGTTGCTAGGGAAAATAAGGCATTATAGGGCCAGTGGACAAGAGGAGGATAAAAAGCTGAAATTCAATCGATGATGGAATTGATTTGACTTTTAACCTTAATTTGACAGTTGAGTGATTAGAACTTCAGAAGTGAAACTTTTTGCTTTGAGATAGAGATGGGTGCACTCGAGTTTTTACAAGTTGGTTCTGTGCAAGATATATCACATTTGTACAATTCTTACATTATATATTACAAGCCATTTCATCTAGCTTTGCAAGTCCAACCCTCTCAAACTGAATGCTAAATTCTACCATGTTATGGTCAGTCTTTCCCAGGGGATCTTTCCTACATCATTTATTAAACCTGCCTTATGATACATCATCAGATCCAAAAACAGCCTGATCCCTAGTTGGATCCTTAACACATTGCTTTAGGAACTTGCCTCAAATACACTCTCTGAATTCTTTGTCATGGCTTCCTCTGCCAATTTAATTGTCCCCAAAGCCATTCAAGGATTCATGTACCACCTTTATTACATGTCCTCAAACATCTTCATTTTTCTCTGACCCACCATTTAGCTACTCTTAGAGGCCTACTCTGTGTTTTCTTGCTCTTTTTATTCCTTACCTCCACCCATATGGATTCTGCATCTTCCGATTCAAGATCGTTTGATTGTATCTTGATACATGCGACAACAATAAATCAATGAAAAGAGTTGTTTTGCGTGCTATATTGGCAGCTCGTACCATACAAAGTGCATCAGGGTAGCAGAATACAGTGTTACAGCTGCAGAGAGAGAGAGATCAGAATTAACATTGGAGAGGTCTGTTAAAAAATCTGATAAGTGGGGAAGAAGCTATTTTCAAATCTATTGGAACGTGTATTCAAACTTTTATGTCTTCAGCCCGGTAGAGGGTGTAGGAGAGTATAACGGGGGTGCAAGGAGTCTTTGATTACGTTGGTTGCTTTCCTGAGGCAATAGGTAGTATAGATGGAGTCACTGATGGAAGGCTGGTTTACATGATAGACTGGGCTGTGTTTACGACTCTGTAGTTTCTTGCAGTGTTGGGAAGAGCAGTAGCCATATCACGCTGTGAAGCCTCCAGATAGATGCACCATAGTAAGCATTCTATAAGGATTGGTGAGAGTCCTTGTGGACATCCCAAATTTACTTAGCTTCCTGAGGAAGTAGAGACAGTGTTATCCTTTCTTGACTGTTGTGTCAACGTGGATGGACCAGGACAGATTGTTGGTGATCATCACTCCCAGGAACCTTTTGCTATCGACCACCTCCACTTCAGCACCACTGATGCAGACAGAAACGTGCCTTCAGCTCTGCTTCCTGAAGTCAATGACCAGCTGCTTTGTTTTGCTGACATTGGAGAGATTGTCGTTGTTACACTATGCTGCTGAGCACTCAATCTCTTTGCTGTATTCTGTTTTGTCGTAATTTGAAATCTGATCTACAATGATAATGTCATCAGCAAACTTGTAAATGGAGCTGGGGTAGAATTTAGCCACAATCGCGAGTATATAAGGAATAAAGCAGGGGACTGAGTACGTGGCTTTGCGGGAAACCGGTGGTGAGGATTATGGTGGAAGAAATGTTACTGCCTGTTCTTACTGATGGCGGTCTATGGGTCAAGAAGTCAAAGATCCAGTTACAGAGGGGCAGCAAAGACCTAGAACTCAGAGTTTAGAAATGAGTTTGTTTGGAATTATGGTGTTGAAGGCGAAACTGTAGTCAAAAAGTAGGAGCCTAATGTAGATTCTTGATATCGTACCATACTGAACCAACAATACTGCCTCACCATCCTTTTTTTGTCTGCCTACCCTTTTGAAAATTCACCTACTCCTGAATATTTAGTTCCCAGCTTTGATCATCCTGTAACCATGTTTCTGAAATGCCAATAAGTTCATACCTGTTAGCCTGTATTTGCAAGCAGTGTTCCCCTGCTGTGTGGGCCTGTGAGACCTGTGTGCAGCAGTGATATCTAGAATCAGTAGTCAGTTTTACGATCCGTGTGCTGTGCTGATCATGCATGGAACCTTGGTGTATATGCATGCATGCATGGCTCTGAGGAAACCAAAATTGTGTTACTGAGCAGGTAATTGCTTGATTGCACTATCGATGACACTATCTGTCACTGATGGGGCAGTGTTTTGTTGGGTTAGATTTGACCTGCTTTTTGTTTGAGAGCATACCTGGGAAATTTTTCACATTGTCTGGTAGATACTAATGTTGTAGCTGTACTGGAACAGCTTGGCTAGGGGTGTGGCAAGTTCTGGAGCACAAGTTTGATGTGACACAGTGGGTAGCACAGCTGCCTCACTGCGCCAGAGACCTGAGTTTGATTCCACTGGGTGACTGGAGTTTGCACATTCTACTTGTTTGTACGAGTTTCCTCCAGGTATTCCGGTTTCCCCCCAACAGTCCGAAGATTATAGATCAGAGAATCATAAAATAGAATCCCTACAGTGTGGGAACAGGCCCTTTGGCCCAACAAGTCCACACCGACTCTCAGAGCATCCCACCCAGACTCATCCCCCATAACCCACCTAATCTACACATCCCTGAACACTATGGGCAATTTAGCATGGCCAATCCACCTAGCCTGCACATCTTTGGACTGTAGGAGGAAACTGGAGCACCCAGAGGAAACCCACGCAGACACAGGAGAATGTGCAAACTCCACACAGGCAGTCACCCGAAGGTGGAATTGAACCCGAGTTGCTGGCGCTGTGAGACAGCAGTGTCAACGACTGAGCCACAGATGTGCAGGCTAGGTGGATTGGCCATGCTAAATTGCCCATATTGTCCAGGGATGTGCAGACTAGGTGGATTAGCCACGGGAAAGGCAGGTTTATAGGGATAGGATAGGGGATGGTTCTGGGTGAAGTGCTGTTCAGAGGAATGGTGTAGACTTGGTGGGCTGAATGCTGCTTCCAGACTGCGTGAATTCTTTGATTGTGTGAAGTCTTCGGGACTATTGCCGTTATGTTGTCAGGGCCCATGGCCTTTACAATATCCAGTGTCACCATTTGCTTCCGGATAGCACTTGGAATAAATTGAAACTGGCATCTGTGATGCTGGGGACCTCTGGAAGTGGCCAATGGATCATTTGCTCAACACTTCTCATTGAAGATTGTTTCAAGTGCTTCATGTTGAGGATGGCCGTCATCATGTTGTCTGGCACTACCCTGGTGTTAAATGGGACAGCTGTTAAACAGATCAATCATTTCAAAACTGGATATCCATGAGAGTGTATGGACCATCGGAAGCAGCAGAGTTCTCCCTGACCAGAATCTGTAATCTCATGGCTCAGCATATCCCCTACTCTATAGCCATAAGGCTAGGACATCAACCCTGCTTTAATGAAGCCTTCAGTAGGGCATGCCAGGAGCAGCCATAGATGTACCTTAAAAAGAGGTGCCACCCTATCAAAACTACAGCTTGGGGTTAAGCGTATACCAGACACCAGAAGCAGCATGCAACAGACAGGGTCAAATGAGCCCATTTCCAACTGATCACATCTAAGCTCCATTTATATCTAGTCATGAATGGTGTTCAACAAATAAATAGCTTAACAGGGAGAAGAGGCTCCACAATTATTCCTATCCTCAATGATGGCAGAGCCCAGCACTTCAGTGCAAAAGACAAGACTGACATTTACATAACTCTGCAACCAGAAGTTTGGAGTGATCGATCTTGGCTTCCTCCAGATGTCCCAAGCTTCTCAGATGCCAATCTTCAATCTAATTCAATTCACTCTAGGTGATATCAAGAAATAGTTGAAGATAATGCAAAGGTTGTGGGCACTAAAAACATTCTAACAGTAGTACTGAAGATTTGTGCTCAGAAATAACCAGGCTGTTCCAGTACAGCAGCAATAAATCTCAGCCTCAGAACACTCACTGCAGGAGTTTTCAGAGTAATGTGGAGCTTTCCTCCAGGTAGTGCTCTTGGCCAGCATTCTTCAGCTGCTTCAACAATGACTTACCCTGCATCATAAGATCAGATGATTACACAATGTATAGCACCTCTTACATCTCCTCAGGCATTGAGGCAATCTGTCTCTATATGCAACAAAACCTGCTACACAAGTAGAAGGCATTGAGCATCTTCAACAAAAGCGAATTGAACCATTGCCTCTTTATGTAGTGACATTATCATCATTGAATATCCCACTGTCAACATCCTGAGGATTACCATTGATCAGAAACTGAATTGCACTACCCACACAAGTCCCATGGCTACAAGAGCAGGTCACAGATTAGGCATCTTGTTGTAAGCTCCCCCTGATTGCACAAAGCTTGAACACCATCTTCAAGGCACAAATTAGGAGTGTGATGGAATACTCCCCACTTGCCTGGATGGGTGCATCTCCAACAACGTTAAAGAAGCTTGAACAAAAACAAAGTTGCTGGAAAAGCTCAGCAGGTCTGGCAGCATTTGTGGAGGAGAAAACAGAGTTAACGTTTCGGGTCCGGTGACCCTTCCTCAGAACTGAGTTCTGAGGAAGGG